TGTCTGAGGAATCACGGCGCCATCCTATGGGGCATTACTGGAGAGGGGAGAGGGGAGAGGGGAGAAGGAGAGGAGGGAAAAGACGGATGGTAATGGGGACGGTTATAATGTTAACGAAAATAAAAACCGGGGGGATACACTGGGGAGGCAAGATACGTTTAACAGTGGCCCTACGCACTGTAAAACGACCAAAGATGGCGGAGGTTGCTCTGGGGAAAGAAGCAAACAGTGCTCCACGGTGACAATAGTAGCCAAACTACGGATATGGTGAAAATGCTACTGGACAATGAAAACGAGTGGATGGGAGTTGGTGGTGGTGAAGGCGATGGCGGAGGGGGGGTTGCTCTCGGGCCCAACGACAGGCATACTAGGTGGAGGTGGAAGGTAATCCAAGAGAGGGTGAGTCTATCCAGGTCTAATTACTGAGTGGAAACGGACAACTTGACGATAACCTTAAAACCATTTTGTTGTGCCGCTTTATGTATAGGTTATGCCTGCCTCGGTAAATGTCTCCTCAACCTGAGTTGGACGAACCACCGTAACACAGTTAAAGACGATTGTTCATGTGAGTATTGTCCTGGTGTGAATGCTGTGCATCTTTTGTTGTCTCTACTTGGTGAATATAGTTACGGTGACTGGCTGAAGGTAACTTCACATCTATCCCGGAACAAAAACCCAACCCCATGTAATCTTGTAAGGTCAAGCCTCAGCATCACCCACAAATCAGCCAGACCCCTTCCTCCGTATCCCAAGCCCGTTGTTGAGAGAACCACCCAATGTTCTAGACATGTGAAAGATGAGGTGGACTTGAATTTATTTCTATAAACGTCCGCGATTTATACATCATACATATTCATACAACCGGCTCCCCACTAGTGACTTCCTGCCCCCCAACTGCCTACCAAAGCCATGGCCTTCTCTCCGCCATCAGCCAGCCTCTCGTCCTTCAAAACATCAGAGAGGCATGTCCATGGGTCACGACCGCCGCCCCACTTGAGGAGGCTCTCCTTAAGCCTCTCCCCGTTTTGTCTATCTAGCGCCAAGCCGTTTGCGCCACCGGAAAACACCACGTCCCAAACCCGTTGGGCCAGCACCTTGTCGAACAGATAGCTGTAGTAAGTGCTTCCGTACCCAGACAAATGCCCAAAAAAGCCCTGCCATCTCGTGTCCTCTGGATCAGGCTGCATGCTGCTGAGCTCTCTCTGAATCTGGTGGAATATCTTGGTAGAGTCAAACCCAGGTCGATTAGCTTCAGCTGAGTGAAGCCTTTGGTCCAGCATTGCCATGATAATCTGGTTTTCAGTGTCCAGACCCTCGAACCTCCGCGCCTGGTGGAGCTTTTGAGTGACCAGCTTGTAAGGAAGCGGCTCGTTCGTCTGGTAATGCCGAGCAAATAACGCCAGCACGGCCGGGTCGGCGGCAAAGAACTCCATCAATGTCGATGGCAGCTCCGCCAGGTCTGTAGCGCACCTGGTGCCAGACACATTCTGGAACGAGGTACGAGCTAGGATCGAGTGTATGGCGTGGCCCATCTCATGAAAGAGCGTTTCCAACTCGTAAAAGTTCAGGAGAGCAGGCTGGTCCCTGGCGGCCTGGGGAAAGTCGCAGACGAGGGCGATGGTGGGAAGCTGCATCACGGCCTTTCCACGCTTGGAGTACATCATCCCGTCGTTCGCCGCCTGCTCCGGGGTCGGGAAAGACTGAGCATCTGGATCGTGTTTGCTCTCAAGCCAGATCTCGTCCACCTCCTCTGCTGAGATCTCGCGTGAGCAGCGGAGCGTAAAGTGAGCTGGGTTGGGCGACTTGTCTGGCCGGTAGAAAAGATCACAGTATAACACAGCCACCACGCCATCTGTATCAGACACGACATCAAGGCGGCGCACATCCGGATGCCATGTCTCTCCCGGCAATGTTTGCGTTGGCACAAATCTGATGCCGTACAGTTGAGTGAAAAGCCTGGAGAGGCCCTGCATGACGACGCCGACAGAAAAGTAGGCGGAGAGGTCATCCGACCGCGTCGGCGCCCTCTCTGATCTTCGAAGAGCCTCCTGGTAGTAGTCCTTATCCCAAGGGTAAACCTCCTCAGACTTGCCTGTCTCCCTCTCCTTCAACATTCTGAGCTCGGCCAATTCTGTTTTGGCTTTGTGGCCGTTGCTATGTGCCAGGGCACGGAGGAATTGGTCCACCGCCTCTGGGCTTTTGGCCATCATGCGATCACGAAGAGCCAGATGGCCATAACTCTCAAAGCCTGAGAGATCGGCGAGCTCGCCTCTCAACTTGACCATATGCTCGAGCATAGCTACCGAGCGGGTAGATGCTGTACGAGAAGCGAGATAGAGAGCACGCCTGACCTCAGGATCCTTGACCGTCCGCAACGCCAAAGTGGCTTTTGAACCCAGTGTCTCCAAGGTGGTCTGGCCAAACCGAGTGGCCGATCTGACCTCTACCGGGTCCATGCCCATAAGCTTGCTGCTCGGCACAGTAATCTCGGGGTACTCTGGCTTCATCCCCTGGATGAACCGAGACCCAACTGTGCTGATTTGTGACGACAACCACACGAAACGCTCCCGGTGCCTTTGGCTCAGGTTGACGGCAGACTTGGTGAAATCCAACCTCAACACCTCAGCAACAGACTTTTCCTCTTCTGACCACACAGACGTAACATCGGGGTTCGACATGGCCTTGATCAGCTGATCGTATAAGCCAGTCATGGTGTTGAGCTCGTTCATGTACTGATATACCAAATCCCAAGCTTGGTCGGCGCTGCGCTGGGTGAGAAGCTCTGGGTGTGTCACACGGACGAAATCGCACATATCAAGAACTCGACAAAGGATATCGCTCAACCTGTCAAGTTGGCGAACAACTCCTCGATATTCCTCCACCGTCTTTGCCGACAGCACCTTGTCGACGGTGGCCCGCGCTCTCTTCAAGCTCACCTGGGCGAAGGTGAGGAACCCACTAGGTGTCCTCAGATACTGATTCCTAAACAGACCGACCGGTTTGTTTATGTACGGCGGTGCCGAAAACTCCTTCCAATGCGTCGACGAATCGAAAATATCGCGGAGCAAAAGGTCGTCATGCCGTTCATAACCCTTGGGCGGGGTGTGAATGAAGGCAGACACTGGGCCCAAAGCATCTACCGAGAGCCATCTTCGTTGCGTGTGGGACAAACAACAGCTGGAACATATTGGTCGCCTCAGCCGGGTCGACCGTAAAAGTTGGGACTGTATCGATTTCAACATGGCTGCGATTGACAAGGCGGGCTCGAGAGCTTTGTCCCTAGCTCGGCATTGGTGTAAACGAGTGGAGGGGTGCTGGCAAAGTTGAAGATGAGCTCAACCGCGCCCAGTCACCGCTGGGCTACCTAGAGCCGGACGCCACCTATGTCGATAACCTCCTTCTGCCCTCCCCAATGTGATCCAGTTGTTTTCGAAACCTCGCGAGCAGGCACACGAGCAGTTGTAGGGGTTTGTCGTCTGTCGAGGTGGGATGGCAGAGTCGCCCAAAAAAATGGCAAGTCAAAATTCCGAGTACGGTGGTATTGGTTTGCCTCTGTCTAACCTTATATGAAAAGGGTTAGGGCTGTGGCAGTGGTGGCAGCTGCGCTTGTTTGGCTGCGGCTATAGTGTGAGGCTTTGAGCGGACTTTGCCATATGACCGGCAACTCGGACCACCCCCCACATCTGTGTAAACCAGGTCACCTAACTGCTCACTTAACTGAGCCAAAGCTGATTTAGACTATTAGGCTTAATTGGGCAGCCCATCCAGATTTTTGGACTTCAAGCATAAAGTTCACCACAAAAGCTATGCTTTTAAATTACAAGTATGATACTACCATATTATTATATAAAAACTAGTATGCGTGGAAGCCTTTATTACTACTAGAAAAGCCTAGTATACTTATTTATACTTTAATTGAGTATGGTGCAGTTAAGTTGTAGTTGATTGAGTAAAGTTGTGTACGTGCCCAACTAATTTATGTAGTTTGATTAGCTGTTTAATTGATCAAATTAATTGCCGGGCTTTAGCTGGGTGGCCTGTGCGGCCTTCAAAAGTAGTCCGAGTTGCCAGTCATCTAGTAGACTCCCTGGGTTGACAATGCCAAGGCCACTCTTTGTAGGGCCAAAAGGGTTCTGAGACAGTGACGAACGAATACCACCGTACCGAGATCCCGGAAATAGCCGCACCCGCATCTAATCCCAGCCAGCATTGCAACTTCCAGGTTCCCAAATCCCGGTCGTTTTGAACTTTGTAGCTCTCGACCACAGACGACGCCTGCTCCCCGGGCAACAATCTTTTACCAGCCCTCCTTTTTCCTCTTCCTCTTCGTCGCAAGGGAAAATCCAATTGGGTCGAGACCATGGCCGCCAGACTGCTGTTTCAACGGGTAAGTCTTTTGTCCCGGATGCAGCTACCTATCCATCCCGCCTTGCACCTAGCGTCATATATACATCTATCTGCAAATCGCTAACATGTCTCTCCTCTCCAGCGAGCCGCGCCATTGACGGCCGCCGTCCTCGTCGGCAGCATCGCCTTCTCTCCCTCCCTCGCCCATGCCGAAGCCCCCAACGGTCGTCAGTTTGTACGTCAAGCACCTCTCTACCAAACCATACCATCACCCCACTAACACACGCCCCAGCCCAGAAAACCCATCTACGACGACGACCTCGACGACCCCCTCCCCACCTCCAAAACCCTCCCCGCTCCCCCCAAGCCAGCAGCAGCCGAGCCAACAACACCCTCCACCTCCCTCATCACCCTCCCCACCACCTCCGAACCAGCGGTCATCAAAAAAGAAACCCCCACCGACCTCCTCGCCCAGCGAATCCGCTCCGCCCGCCTCTACCTCTACCACCACTCCTGCATCCTCGAAGACGCGGTCAACTCCTCCCTCTCCCGCGCCTTCGACCTCGAGCAATCTTTTACTTCCACCATCTCCGGCCTCGCCCCCGACCGTGCCTCAGGAGAAAAGCTCATGCCCGGAGCCATCTATGTCCTCGTAGCCGGAATGGCAGGCAGCATTGTCGCCCGCAACAGAAACGTCCTCCTCCGCACGGCGACACCCCTGGCGTTGGGCATCACCGCCGCTTGGACCGTCCTCCCCGTCACGATGACAAACGTCTCGGAGCTGCTGTGGTATTACGAGAAGAAGGTACCTGCGGTGGCGGAGGCGCATCTGCAGGTTAGGGAGGGGGTGGAGAAGGGTGTTTACATGGCAAAGGTGCATGCCGAGCTGGCGCAGAGGAAGATTGAGGAGGGGGTTAGGGAGGTTAGGGAGGGGTTGGAGGGGTGGGTTAGGAAGGGGAAATAAATGAAAAGGGGGAATGGTTGTGTGCTGTGAGGTAGACAAAAAAGGGGGTTGGGAAAAAGTGATATGTGTACCTAGCCTGGGAGAAGGGGTAGCAGAGGCGGTAGCGGAATTATCCCTCTTGTATCAATACGTAGAAAGCTTGCCATTTTTTAAAAGTCAGAAAAGGCTTGGGGGGCAGAATGATACTGTTTCTTTTTTGAATTGTGAGAAATTGACTCTCAACTCTTATTTGCGGTATGTTCATGTAAGTGGTGTGGTCTATTATGTACAATTCTCATCCAACTAATATATCCCGTTTCTACAGTGCTGTATCCTTGTATATACCCATTTTTGCTACCTAAAACCCTCAAATCCCCTTGACGTTATTCCCCCCTGTTCCAAAACTCCCATAAAACCTCAACGCCCGCTCATAAGTCCACATGGTCACCGCGCTCGCCGGCGCAGCCTTGACCAAGCTCACCGTCAACCCCCTATACAACCCCCTCACCCCCTCCCGCGCTACAATCTCCCTCATCGTACCAAATGTCCCGTGGGTATACTCTGGTATATTCTTATGCACATACCCCCCCCTCGTCGGGCCCTGCACCTGTATTCTCTTTCTCACCAAATCCAACGGAAACGTCCCTGTTTTGGCAATAACAGAAGCTATCGTCCCTGTCAATGCCCCGCCTGAACTGAAGGGAAGCTCCAGCTTTGACAATTTGGGACGGAGGGTCTCGTACACGGCGAAGAACGTCCCCATAAAGGGGATGATCTGTCCCAGGGCGGGGGCTAACCCCCGGAAGAAACCTTTGTACCCCTCCTGGTGATGGATCTGTCTGATGGCGGGGAGGAAGCCCTTGTAGATTTTGTCATTGCCCTGGGCGGCGAAGCGGGTTCGTAGGAGGTCGAGGGGGTAGGTGGCTGTTGTGCCTGTTGCTCCGGCTGCCGCGCCGGAGATGAAGGATTCTGCTGATGGGGGGAGGGTAGACTCGCCGAGGGTGGAGTGGAGGAGGAGAGTGGTTTGGCGGTAGGTGGTGAACTGGACGGCGAAGTAGCAGAGGTACAGGAGTTCGGCGGGGAGGTTTCCTTTCCAGAGGCCGGTGAGGCCTTCGGACCGAAAAATGGAGAGGAGGGTGGGGAGGGTGCCTTTGTAGATAGGGGAGCCGTGGAGGTTGCGGGTGGAGAGGGGGTCGGAGAGGGAGTGGGTTTGGAGTTGGAGGCGGATTTTGACTACGTCTAGGGGGGCTATGACGAAGCTATTCAGAGACATAGGGTTAGGGTGGGTTTGGGGGGGGGGGGGTATAGAAAAGGGGGTGGAGGAGGTGAGGAGCATACCGAGAGACTACACCGGCTGTGGCGCCGGCGGCGGTGACTTGGAGGCGGGTGCCTTCATCTTTGAGGCGGTCGCCTGGTTTGGCTGACATTCATTCAGTGGGGGGTGATGAAGGTGTCGTCGTTGAAGATATGACGAGCCAAAGAGGGGATGACGACGCAGGGATGGTTGATATGCAGGCGCACGCACTGGGACAACAAGCTTTTTGCGCCTCTTTATTTTGGTCCGTCCGGTGTCTGTGGGTGATCTTCAAGGAAGGTAATGGGAAGCTCGATCAAGCTGCAGCTGTAGCTTGGGCAAAAAAGCAATATGCGTTGCTAGAGCCTTCCAGAGCGATTGCGTGTTCAAAAATGGAAAAAGTGCACTGAAGACAGCTCGGTAAGTTGCGTGTATGCTTGGAAATGCAGCTACATGAATCTCATGTCCTCATACACCAGGGGCGCGGCTTATCGTGATTGATGGTGGTGTTGTGTATTTTTGGACCTCAAATCTGAAGATATCAAAAGCAGTGACGACATTGCTGTCAGTTGACAGGGGGCTATAACTTTTTTTTCTGCTGGTTGAGGGAGCGCACGGAACAAGCCGTCGCCTAGATCTCTTGACCACCTAAACCACGAGTCCAAAGCCATACTGTGTATCACTCCGATCTGCAGTGTGAGCACACGCGGATGGACAACGACCGACTGACGAGCGCAGCGATTGACGAGATATTCAGAGGAAGAGCAAAGATCCATGGGGATCCGAGAACAGATGCATTGCATGGAGCAGAAAGAGGCGTCTTATCTGCATCCGACATCCCGAATCCACCTCGCTCAAGCATCGGCAGCCTTTTCACCGCGAGCCGGGGCAGTGTCGGCAGCTCTCTCTCACAGGCAGGCACCTTCCCCGCGACCACTGGGCTCCGCCGTCATTGCAGCACGGGGTGCAATAAGTCGAGCTCTGATTGGTTCCATCCGCCCGAATCGCAGCTTAGCGGCGGGACCCACCTCAACTTGGCTGAAATGCCCTGAACTCTCAGCGGGTCAGCGGCCACACGGAAGGGCTCTGTTACATCAGAGTCGAGATGCACGCCTTAACACGCCGTTCCTCCGTTCCCGTGTGAGGTTCGAGTGGGGTTCTGGACCCTCATGTTGAGGTTCCTCCTCGTCGTGAAACCTACAGGCCACGGCAACTTCGGCCGATTTCACCCAGATATCAAGACGTCGTCCCCCTCCTGCGCTATCGCTAGCCACAGGAGAGTCTGTCCTCTCTGCATCTCTCTGCGTCTCTCTGCATCTCTCGTCTCGCCGTGTTGCTCATCCACCACCCAGACATTCATCTGCATGACGAGTTAGCGGCATGTGATCTTGTTTTACACCTGCCCTGCGTATGAGACATTCTGGCACGGCCCCTGGAGCCTTCATATAGACGACCTGCTTCTTCCATCTTCTTGCTTTTTTATACAATATCAGCTCAGTCCCACTCAGATCCGCTACTATCCACCTACCTACCCCCCCTTAACACTTCTCTCACCTCCTCCAACAAACAACCACATCAATCACGCATCAGGATGACTTCACAACAAATCTCGCCGCCAGACTTTGGCAGACTTGTAACACCCCTCCTCTCGGCTCTCCCGGGCGCCTCCGTCTCAACTCAGCCACCCAGCACCGTCCTCCCACTCCTCTCCCCCATCCTCAGACAGCGGGTGAAGCTCATGTCAGAAGCTAGCCAAGAACCATGGATCAGACTGTTGACATATGATACCGCCAAGGTGTCCAAGTTGACCAGCATTGCGCAGAGCGGCAGTCTGGAACCGCACCCAGTATCCGGCGAGATCGAGCTGGACTGGGACTACAATGTCGAGATCAGATATAAGAGGCTAGACGAGGAGACTCTGCAGGCACTTGTCGTTCTCAAAGACTTTGATCTGTTTGTTCGGCTGGTGTACTGCATAAACGATGCCGATGGTGAGGGGGGACCCAACGGATGGCGAACTGGCGAAGTTGGCACAGCCAGCAGCCCCTCACCACTGACCGAGTTTGGCGGCTTCCAGAGCGTCTCGGAAGCTGAGGCGGCATTCCAGGCGACCAAGGCGGGAGGAAACAGGCAGCCCAGCACCAACGGTATCCGGGGAGTGGCGGTAGCTATGAACACCACCGTTCAAGAAGAAGAGGACGATGACGATGACTACTGGGCTCGCTACGACGCAACACCCGCCAGAACCCCAGCCATGAAACAATCCCCCGCTCCGCAATCCATGCGTCCTGAGCAACCGGAAATCCAGCGTACGCAATCGGCCGAAGACGCATATTACGCCCAGTACGATGATGTCCAGCCCGCCATGGACCCTCATGATCCCGACGAGGAGGTTGAGCAAGTCGAGGCGCCCCCACCACTGGGCATAAGCAGACCGGCTGGCTCCCGTGACTGCGGTGGACTCAACGAGATGACCGGATCGTGGACATTGGAGCCACCAAAATCACCTTCTGTCCGCTCAACCCGGTCGCAGGAGGATGAAGAGAGGACGGCAAACCTCCTTCATCCTCGTCCTGCCTCCAGCGCCAGCTCCAACGGGTCATTGACAGTTGCCAAACTGGAAGAGAGCGCAGAGCGTCGCGAGCAGAGTGAGTTTGGTGTTAAGCAGCACATCTCCAGGAGTATTAGGAGTTTGTTTCTACTTTCACGGTCGGCGGGGATTGACAGGGAGGAATTCGAACGGATGGTCAAGACTGAGATGGATGTGTTGAGCATGGTGGAGGATGATATCTGAAGTTGCTCACCATGGACTTGTACATATATGACTGATGGAGTTTTTTGGCATATTTGTTTCTGCGTGGGATTTTTTCATGTCTGGCATCGGTGTTTAGAGAATGGGTTTTGGTGGCGGGGGAGTTCCGTTTTCATGAATCGTTCATCCCCTTGGATGAGGGGGGGTTGGTTTGGTTGAGTTGCATCAAGGCATTTTTCTTGTTGACTAATTTGGTCTTTGAGGGTTTGTGGGCTTCGATGGGTAAATGTGTTGTCAGAGTTATGGGCATTATGGTTCATTTACGAAGATATCAGACATAGTTTTGGGAATGAAACACTTTCAAAGACGAGCTCAAGAGAGAGTTGGTGTGAGTGTGTTGTTGGTTCTTCAAACGCTTGGCTCGACCAGGGCTGGTTAGCGTGCTCTGACTGCCTTGACTTACAACCTCCAAGGGAAGAGAAGGTATGCATGCTCGAGTTGAACTTCCCAAAGACATTCATTACACATGAGAAAACGAAATCCTCTCTTCATTGAAGAAGAGATCTGCCTCATCAAAGTCCCCGACAACACAACTGAGAAACCCACCCCATGCAACCAAGGGTTAGGGTTGGCTACTCATAAAGCTTAAACCCTGCAAAGCTGCCTAGCCAATCAGGCAAAAGCCGCTCCGTGCCGGGCGGGCAATTCAGAAAAAAGTTCCCAAGTTGAGTGTGAGGCTCGATTGACAAGCATTGGCCCATTGGCGATAGCGACAAGGGACGAACGACAATCCGACAACCTCCCTCCACACACCACACACACACACATTCACCATGCTGCGTCCAAGGTTAAGGATACCGCGGGCCTCCTCGCCCTTTGCCCTCCCCGCCTCCCGGTCGTCAACCGCTGGCCAGCTCCTGCCCCTCGCCTACAGGTCATCATACCACACCGTTCCCGTGCTGGAGAACATCCCAGAGAAGGAATCCGAAGATGGGCAGAAATACAGGTCAATCGACGGGTTCCTGTCCCCTATGGCTTTCACGACCGCCTGGGATTACTACCAGACCCATGTGTTGTCCAACTTGAACCGTCTCTGTGCTGGTACGTCTTCTTTTAACTGCCCCATGTGGGGGAAGGACTATAGCTGATTTTGGTGGTGGGAATAGAAACCAACAACGACAGCCTCCTCCTCAAAGACGTCGTCCTCGCCACGGCCCGCGACCCCGCCCAAGCAGCTACTTTTAATTATGCCTCGGCGGCGCACAACAACCACTTCTTCTTCAAGTGCCTGTCCCCTACCGAGACAAAAGCCGAGGACATGCCAGCCCAGCTGAAGGACGCTCTCGTCAAGTCGTTTGGCTCGCTCGACGCGCTCAAGGAGCTGATGGTCAACACGGCCACTTCCATGTTTGGTCCCGGGTTTGTCTGGCTCGTGCGGAGCGACAGGCCCAAAGACCCGCACCAGTTCCGGGTTTTGACGACCTACTTGTCTGGCTCGCCTTACCCGGCCGCGCACTGGCGGAAGCAGAGCTTGAACACTGCTACGGATGTTGGGGAGTCGAGCGAGAGGGGGATTCAGGCGGGCAAGCAGTATTTGGAGAATAGCGCTCGGGGTGCGGGATGGAACGCGAGCGCGTATAAGAAGGATGATTTTGCGCCCGGGGGGGTGCTTCTGGAGCCGGTGCTGTGCTTGAACACGTGGGAGCATGCGTGGTTGTTTGAGTATGGGTTTGGGGGGTCGCCGAAGAGTGTGTTGGATAAGGTCAAGGGGGGGCAGGCGGGGGTGGCGGAGAATCAGAAGAGTGGGAAGGAGGTTTATGCGGAGAGGTGGTGGATTTTGTGGATTGGAATTTGGTGGCTAGGTTGCTTTTCCGGGGGTACGTAGATATAAATGGATGGGATGGGGTTAAACCTGCCCTTGGGGATGTTTTTAGAGTTTACTGGTTTCGGGCCGGGGGGGGGGTTTGTTGTGTATAATATGATGGATGGGGCTGATGATATCATGTCGAGCCCTGGTAGAGAAAAATAGGGGAGGAAGGGGGGTGGTGGATTTGTACAAATATTTAAAAAACAATAGAATCTGTGTACAGTGGTTAGTGTGTCTTGAGAACATGTGGTTGGTGTGCCTTTGAAAGCATACAGCTGTGTCTTTTAAGGATGATGAACATTCCTCGGCGGTATCTCGAGTGCTGCCCCTTTGATGCTTAGAATGCTGACAACTCATCTACTCGACAAGACTTTTCTTTTTAACCAAACAAAGGTTGGCACCTTCCTTCTTTCTGGGAGTCACTGCCTACCAGAATCACACGTGAAACTAGAATTGTGCGGCTGCCTGTCCTCGTTCTTGCAGTTCAAAGGCACGAGGAAGGTGCACCTGGCCAGGGAGGAACGTCATGTAGGTGCCAGACCACAAGTTCCGAATTTCCTCCTGCAACCCATTGCCAGACCGTTCAACCACAGCTTTTAACTACGGTACCGTCCACATCCATTTCATCCACATTCGTTACAGCAGCATTTCACACACACACACACACACACACAACTGTTAGCCTGAACAAGCCATACTCTTCACCAGCACCACTTAGCCTGATCCGCCATCAGCCAATCCCCGGAAACTCAAGCCACCGTTGGGTTGCTGTGCTTGTGACCCCAGGTGAGCAAAAGAAGGCTGATGGATAGTTCACGCCTAACGGAAAGCTAAACCTTGTGCTGTCAAACCAGAGATTTATCAGTACCAAAAACACACAAAAACACAAAAAGACAACTAGGCTGACACCGGGCCAAATCCAAAACCGCCACGGCTTTACGCGTACTTTCATTATCCCCTAACGCGTAGGAACCATGTCTTCCACCACCTCAAGCTTGTCCGATTCAGCCGGGTCCAAGCCAAGGCCACCATCCCCAGATCCCAGAGGTTCGTCTAGTCCTCCTCCGGTGAATCACGTCAACGATTAGAGGACGGAGAAGATGTTTCGCCAGGACATGTGCCGGGCGGTGGGGCTGTTGTCGGAATACAAGGCCCTTTGCAGGCAGGTGAAGGAGATGAGTTTGGAAAGACTGAAGGAGGGTTGGGCTTTGTCGGCGGAGACGAGATTGGGTTGAATTGTTGTTTGCCGTATTTGACTGGGACGGGGCAGCATGAGGATTATGTCAAGTGGGGGGGGGGGGGGGGTTGAGGCGTGCAATGGCTGCCTTGGAAAATTGGATTTCGTTTGTGTGGATTGGGAGGTTGATCGGGAGAAGTGCAGGGTTGAAGAGGGGGGTTGGTGAGGAATTTGGAAAGTTGGGAGGTGAAAAATGGGAAGGGGAAGGGGGAGGTTAATGGAGGAGGTTTTGGGGGGGTGAGTAAGGGAAATTTGAGTAAAGGAAAGGCAAGCCTGGGAGGGCCAAAACAGCTTTTTTCCCTTCGTTCCATTCACTTGCCCAAACTGGTGTGGCAGGGCAAGGTTCATACTTGTTGTCTCCAAAGGTCGGGGATGTGCAGCGTTATGCGAGTGGATACTGAATACTCTGGCAACAGAGAGCAGTCAGCAGAGTAATTCGACTCTAGATTTTAAGTGTGGGGGTTTTACTAAAGAGGGGGAGTGAGGGTCTTGTGGAGGTGATTGACATCGGGGGGTGGTGTTTAAGCGGAAATGCATACCTTGTGTATGGTCTAAAGGGGGATGCTGGCTAAAGTCATGAACAAAATCCAACAAGCGTATCTTTGTTATTTCAGAAGCTAGAAATTGTATACAGTGCGGAGAAAAACAAGCTGATAGAGCAAAATCCAAGAGTCCTTCGAATAGAGGCCGTCACTGATAGTTGATAGATCTGTGAGACTCCAAGCCATCCTCTGGGGCTTCCCAGAGAACCACCTGCCGGGACGCTTTTTTAATATATACCTAAGACCCTCTAAAAGGTGGAACTTGATGGCTATCACACCTTGCGTATCTGCTTTGCGTGATCCAAGACAGTTGGGGGGACCTTGGCCCGCGAGTAGGAGAGAGTTCTGGGTGCCTGACCAGGTGCCTGCGCGTTTGCCAATCGAGCACAACGTGTGTATCAAGGAGATTAAACGCGTGACGACGGAGTCGAACGCACCTTCCAACAGAGTCGAACGTACCTCTAAGTGCTCACGGAATCGAATGCTAAAAATAGAAAACAAACAAGCAAACCTACTCCTCTTCTGTTTTTGTCTCCATCCACTTTATATCGTGAGCATACCATCCACAATGATGGATGAAGAACTATTGAGGATTGTTCGAGAGAGCCCCATCGGAAACAGCCTTGATGGCTTCCGTGTGATGTACACTCTCTCACCAAACTCAACAAACTCGACAAACAAACTTCAAGTATGATCATCGCAACTTCGACGCCCTGTGTTTTGCTAACCGTCATACAGATGATGATGTCAAAAACAATGTCCGGAAGGGGTTGACCTTCGGGCGGAATGCATGGTTGCCACCAAATCGGGTACACCGGCGCCTCATCCTTTCCAAGTATGGGATTTCTATCGAATACGGAGCATCTTCAAAGCTGGCATGTACCGCCCTGGCCGACTGTATTGAAGGGCACGAACAGTTGCGGAAGAAAGCCGGCATCCTTCACCGAGATATATCTCTGGGTAATCTCAAGGTGAGCAAGGAAGATGATCGCGGGTTTTTGATCGACTTGGATCACGCCGTCAAGGAGGAACATCTTCAAGGCTCCGAGCGAATGGTTGGCATACCGACTTTTATGGCCAACGGGGCACTCGAGGGTAAGCAGCACTGGTTCATGCACGACCTTGAGTCATTTTTTTGGGTGTTGTTCTGGATTCGCATCCACCACGGAGGAATGGGCGAAGATTTAAGCCACGATCTCCGGGATCTCTACAAGTGGTGGCACTACGAGAGCGCGAGCTGGGTAGCAAACGTCAAACTTGGACTTGTGGCCTTGGAGGAGAGGTTTACGAGAAAGGTCAACGAGCAAATCGGGCCACGCCATGCTTCGCTTGCCCCGGCGCTAAATGAGCTGCAACAAGTGGTGTTTTTTGAAGACGAAGAACAGAGATTATTGCGGGGCCGGGAAGACGAGAACCTCTATGCGTTGATGAAGGAGATTCTGAGGCGGGATAGGGGGGTTGTTATTATCGAGGACGCTGTAAAGGATGGTGAAAAGGTTTTGGTAAGATGATGGTTAGGAGGTTTTTGAGATGGTTAGGATATCTGTGAGGATAGCCAATTGGCCTGTGAAGATAGTCGAAGGGGTTTTCAGATGTGAGGATATGTTGATGTAATCTTTTGAGGCCTTGTTCTTGGGAATAAGGGCGAAAGATAGTGATTAGACCTTACGTCCACTTGATACCCTTTTAAAGATAGTTGGCGGGTCTTTAATGTGAATTGTCGGCCTTCAAGAGACACTCGGTAGAGGTGTCTTCCACCCTCTAAAGCCTTGATTTCACATAGAGTGCCTAATTATCTGGTGGACGAAGAGAGATGACTCTACATACTAACACATAAACCATGCCGGATAGAAAGTTGAGAGGCCTTCTGATATCTGTCATGGGCCTGGTATTGGTCACTGCTTGGCTATGGCTAGCAGTATTACACAAGGGCCGGAGATGTGCGTCCGCCAAATATGTCGTCACCTCTTAGCCAAGAGGGGTCTATTGTGTTGGATAGATTGGGTATAGATGGACCAGTCAAACTCGTGTGATTTGTTGGCTAACCATCCCCTGGACCCCGGAGAGCGGCGAAAATATAACCAGATGTGGAATTAGCCGTTCGTTGAACTCTTCCGTAATGACAATGACTACCCTATTTTGATGCTGTTCCGTGACTGCATGATTGTTTAGACGAGGGTCGGTACCAAGAGTTAGACCAAGAGTTAGACCAAGAGTGGCAGTCATGGTATTATTCGGCCTTTGGAATCAAGTTCCGCAATGAGGAATCAATTGTGCTGTCAAGATACCAAGATGTTTCCTTTGGAAGGTGACCAGTAGCTTGAAACACGTTGGCGATGGCTGCCAAGAAACGGGTAGCCGCCTGCCAGACCGTTTGCTGCACGGTTGAAGGGTTTCTATTGGTGCAGCGCCGTGCAGTTGCCCCACCCACTCCCTTTTTGGAACTGGGATACGATCTGCGATCTCTCCCTTGGGCATCCAGTGATTGCCGCTGCACGTTTTCCTTGGCTTGACTTGGACTTTTCTTGACTAGGCTTTTGGGGATGGGACAGCTGGGGGGGGGGAGTGTTGGCCAGTCGAGGAGAGACGGTGACAAACTCGGTGATATTGGGTGCCCAATCAAGAAGAAAGCTCGCGCTATAGTCAAGTAATGACACAAGTCCGACTGTTCATCCCTCAGTCTTGGAGGCTGAGATCACCAGTCGATCAGATCCCTAGTTCCGAGGGGTAAGGAAAACGAAAAAAAAAGAAGGCAGATATCCACGGGTTAGACGGCAGATATCCACGGGTTAGACGCACCCGCGTGGCTGGAAAGTAGAAACAAATAGAGAGGAAACACAATGGGAGGGAGGCCTATCACGGAGGTTCGCATGCAGGCCGCAGACGACCTGAGCCATGCGGGAGGATGGGCCGCAGCACCCAACACCTCACCACCACCACCAGGCAATGAACATTCTTCACATTCGGACTTGATATGAAATGCAAAGAGTTTATTTACAGTTACAAGACAGGGAAGGCAAGCCCATGACTGCGGCCGCTTTTTTTCTTGGGTGCTGAGGTGGCTATCAAACATATTTTGAGAGGAACGACAACCACTTACATGATGGGAAGGTGTGGGACTAGGGTCGTTACCATCGCGCTTGCCTGCATTTCTTGTGCTTTTGTCTTCACCAGTCGGACCCTTCAGCCTGGGCCACCCGTCTCCGCCTCCTCCGCCGCCGGTTGTGTTTTTCTGTAGGTTGGTATCCATGTCTCTCTTTTTTTTCTCGAGGTTGTACCAATGGGGGCCGGGTGGTTGTCAACCACGCCTCTCCGAGCCTCCTCCCCTGTTCATTTCCCCAAGATGCAGGTAGGTGTGACTTTGCCTTTGTAGCTGCTGACTGCTGCTGCTGCTCTTGTCGCCATTGATAAATATAAATCACATTGCCCGCTTGCCCTTGCTCTTCCTCTTCTTTTGCTCTTTCCCGTTTACCGACTTGCTCTTGTGTTTCCGTTTTTCTTTTCGTTCCGTCTCATCAAGAGCTTGGGTGTTCCCAATATACACAAAGAGCTTGCGTCATATTCTTTGGGTTTTCCCAATTTCCCGCCTTATTAATAAAACAAGCACGCACGCTCGACCTTGTGTGTGTGTGTGACGAGAGTCTTGCTTGTTCGTCCGACATTACCCTTGCTTGGCTAGCTACCAGACCTTTTATCATTCCTCGTGCTCCCCTTGGAGAAAGGGTATAAAGTAGCCTTCTGTTCCGCCCCCCCTGCGTAACACACCACCCTCGGTTACCTTTCCTACAGCACCTACAACACACCACAACAATGCGTGTCTCGAACAACCTCTCCCTTGTCCTCCTCGCTGCCGGCGTGACAGCCCAGTCGGTCGAGCCTGAGACAGGCGTATGTTCTCCCTATTCCGAACCAATTGACCTCGAATAACATCACTGACTGGTATCGTGTAGAAACTCGGCGATGCCACCATCGTAAGCAACAACCCCGTCGGGGTCGTGTACAAGGCCGTCCTGCCGGCGGAGGCTTGGTTCAAGCCGGCGTATCCAGATGGGGGGAATATCGAGGGGGAGGTCACTGCTGTGGCTGCCGAGTCGGGGGAGGGAGTGGTGTACACATACAAGCTCTCCAACCTGCCCAAGGAGGGCGGGCCGTTTCGTATGTCTTTTCTTTTTCGTTACCCCCCCACCCCATATGGCATCGTTGTTAACACTTATGATGTAGCCTACCACCTCCACGTCGCCCCTGTCCCCGCCGACGGGAACTGCACCGTCACGCTCGCCCACTTGGATCCGTTTATCCGTGGGGAAAACACGTCTTGCAACCCGTTTGCTCCGCAGACGTGCCAGGTTGGGGATTTGAGCGGCAAGTTTGGGGAGATCAGACCTGAGGAGGATGGGACGTGGGAGACGACGTATACGGACTTGTACTCGTCGACGCTTGAGGGGTTGGGAAGTTTCTTTGGGAACAGGAGCATCGTGTTTCATTATCCTAACAAGACTAGGATTAGCTGTGCCAACTTTGAGAAGGTGGAAGGGGGGGTGAGCAGCAGTGCGACGGTGCTGCCGACGGTGACGGGTAATGGGAGTTATACTATTTTGCCTACGGGGGGTGTGAGCACTACTACCGGAGGGGGGCCGAGCACCACGAGTGATGCGGGGGCTGGGACGGAGACGACCACGTCGCCTCCTTTGAGTGGAGCTGCTGGGTTGAGGGGGAGTGCGGTTGGGGCGTTGGTTGTGGGGGCGGTGGTTATGTTTATGTTGTAAGGAGGGTAAAGGTGATGGAGGGTGAGAGGATTGAGGCGTTGGGGGGCGTATTAAATTGGTTTTTCTTTTCTTGCTTGAGATTCTTTGGTAGATGAAAGCTAGGTTTATTGTGTTGCTTTGGGCATGGTTAATTTGGGAGGGAATGAAGGATTATGATAGGGTAATGTTTATAGCTGAATGCAATGGTCTTGATATGTTAATGGGAGAGAGGGGGCTGTGACTTGGTAATGGTGGTGATTGCAACTCAGAGGGGCTCTCGATCGAGTAGTGCCTTGAAAAGTATGTTGAAACTGGAATTGGCAACTGAAATCCAAGTGACGGTGATAATGTGTCATTGTTATGGTCATTTCGGACCGTAATAAGAGTGTCGTGGTGTGTTGTTGCTGCATGGTGGTAGTCATGATGATTGTGATTTTGTCTTTTGCCAGAGGTCAAAGGAGGTCAGTTACTGTGGGGAGAAGGTTTGTTTTCAATGTCTGGAATATCGAGAGCAGATGATGCTAGAAAAGTGATGTGCTATGAGTATGATGGGGAGTGTGTTGGGACTTGAGCAGCGTCTTTCTGCTCTCTTCGGTCATCGAGGCAATGCGTTGGTACTGCCGGGGAGTACAGGGACATGTTTCTCACCTAGCTACCTATATTACCTAGGTAATACCCAAGCTATCTAGTTGCTTCAGAGAGGAGGGATTCGAAGGAATAGGTGTGTAGATTTGCAGACGAGCAGTCTCCTTCTAATGTCTAGGATGACGATAGTGCATGGCGGTATGGGTTGATCTTTTTTCTTCGCACTTTGTAAGAGAGAACATGCACGGAGCCCCTTAATTATCTTGCCAACATCCCCCCTTTAATATAAGATTTAACTATATTTGGAAGCATAATTATTGAGGGTTGAAAGGTATTTAATAGACTCTAAAAGATAGTTAAAAGACGATATAAGGTACTTAAGAGGCCTGGAAAGATAGTTAAGAGGCCTTGAAAGATGGTTAATAGGGCTTAAAAGATAGTTTAAGGGCTTTAAAAGATAGTTCGAAGGCCATTAAAGATAAATCAAACGCTTATTATTTTTCCCTAAAAGCATTTTATTACATTATATTATAGGAAAGGTAAGTCAATAGGTAGGCAAGGGAGCACTAATAAGATCAATAAGGGGCCCCCTCAAGGTTCTCTCCTTTTTAAATAAGAGGCGGGTTTCATTATTTGGGAGGGGAACTCACGGATGGGGTGCTGGTGTTGATGTAAAAGAATGGAAGTCCAGTAGTCGAAAAGAAAACAGGGACGAGGGCAGTGCTGCTAGTAAGAGTATAGATCTACCATAGATAACTGCTCGGGACGCCGAGTACTTCTCTTTAAGAGCTCAATAATGGGTGATGCAGGGGTTGTGACCGTTGAGCGATCTGGGGGGGTGATTGGAGTTGCTGTTGGAAGGAAGTTGGGGTTAAGAGGTGAGGGCTGTGAGGCGAGAGTGAGATGTGAAAAGATAGCTTTTGCCAACATGAGTGGAGAGTGAAGAGAAATTTCCGTGTCAAAGCATGATCTATACCGAGGCACTTGCTTCTGAACGACCGATGGTGTTTTTGCTGAGTCCTGGGTGAGGTGAGGTTTCGATCTGTGTAAGTGGGTTAGGGTTGTGGGTCAGGATATCAGCTTGGGTGAGCTATGTCAGGGAAAGGAAATATGAAAGAAACGTCCTTCAAGACGTATGTTGGAAAGCACTGAAACTTTTCATTAGCACTTGTCTTGACAGTGATACCAAATCTCATGATGGCTCCGAAGCTGCTCGGCTTGCTCTACCTACACGTGGTGCGCAAAATTGTTCCAAGAGTGATACTGTTCCACATCCGATAGTGAGGCAATAATTCATCATGAAAAAAAAGAAAACAGAAGCCTCATTGTTGCGAGACTGGACCTTGAGATGCTCATTGGTTCCAGTGGCCATCCCTTGAGCGGAACTGGCCCCGCGTCAACTGCGCTTCGACCGCGGCGGCGGCAGTATCCGACATTTCCTGAGCCGGCAAGGAACCCGTATCGGATCGTGAGGCTGTGGCACATCGGACCGGAAGCCTTGGTGTCTCCTCGGCTCCATGTGAGCTTGACGATGAGAGGCAGGTACCTTGCCTGATCGCCTGATCGACTGATGAAGCGGGTGATGGCTAGAGGATTTGTTGACTGGATTCCCGGTTTGCTACCCCAGCTATGCTAGTGGTGGCCTTCAAGGTGCTCGCAGACCTCCAAAAACTTGATGATATGCAAGCGAGCCCTGGCAGGCTGAACGCTGGGGAGGTTTGGGGGTGTTGCTAACTTTTTTGGGGAAGCCGGCAGTTCTTTCCGGGGGTTCCTGGCGGCGATCATTTTTTTAGTGGGGCTACCCGCTGCGGGTTCATGCTGAAGAAACCCGCTGTGGGGTTGTCGACCTGGGTTCCCGGTGTAGCATGGTTACAACCTCATCAATTGAGATGTCGACTGGCAGCGGTGATGTTCAGGCACGGAAAGCCATAGCAGCTGTGCAACCTGCCGCGGGAGCGCATTAATTCTCCTGATATTGGGATCGATGACGAGGCATCCAGTGAAGAGCTCGAGGTGAGTGGGAGGGAGGAGGGATCGAGGTTCCAGGGTGTGGTTGGCTGCCGTTGGTGTTACATCGAATGCAGTGCTGATCAATGTCTCAGTCTCAGCTGTTTTTTTCCTTGTGAAAACCCTCCTCGGATCTGGACTACCAGCGTTGCTGGCGACTCATGATGGACATCTTCTTTCTTTTGCTCTTGTCGCAATCATCATGATGGTATCCGACGCTGTGGTAGTGGCCATGCTCAGCAATAATACCCCGGGAAGAGGCTGGGGTGATTAGCTCCGAGGATTGGCCGGCCAAGGAGCCTTTGACAAACGACAGTCTTGATCTGAGAGTTGTCGGTCAGTAGCTAAGTACACAACTACAGTACAGTACTAGTGAGCCATTGGAACTGACTTGATCAAGATAGATAGTTAGGAGTCGAGGTGGAGTCATGAACACACCCTGTATTCGGCCGAGAGAAACCTTATCGTCGGGACTCTCGTAATCTTTGCCAGGGTGCTTTCCAGGCGCCTGGTCTGCCATCCTCAAGTATGTAGAGACCGAGCCTTGCTTGACCGACGACTGCCGAGTTTCCCTGGAGAGATATCTTCAGAAGTCAATGGAACCTAGCTGTCGATCTACACCATCAATGCCCTTTCGGTCAGGTCACGGTTCACGCTAGGTTACCACCGGTGCGGACAAAAAGCATCTTGGCTGGTCTGGCGATCCTGCCGGCAGCTGCGATCTCTTGGATGGTGGGGCTGCAGACTAGTGTATGATATCGTAGACTGGAGCTAACATCCTCAACAGATAGACCCCACGACGAGCGACACGCATACGTACACGCAGCCCAATGAGGAGATCTACCGCAAACGACCAGTCGTGGCGTTCTGTCATCTTGGAATCCAGCTGCCAACTGCAACCCTCAACACCACCCTCCTCTTCCGAAAGGAGAAAAGGCCTCCTGCAACATCAACCCATGTTGCCCTTTTGATCTCATATCGGCGACCGTCACGTCCCCGGGTGCAGTTGGAACCCTGCCTTCTTCTCAAAGCGGTCAACTGATGGCAAGAATCGAGGTGAATCCGGTCGCTCTCCAAACTGCCGTTGTCCCTCGGTCACAGTTGGTTAGGGCGAACTCGTACCCTGCAGGTAATACTTGAAGAAGCGCTTACACTCGATGACCAATGGTCTCTCAAGACCAGGATGGCTCTTACTACACCTCCCTGTGATATTGACTGGATACATATCCTGGGGTCGTCGTCCGGTTTCCGAGCAATCTCTTTGCAGATCAGGCCAGCCAATCCGCTCTTGTGGTCCCGCAGCCGGCTCAGTTGCTTTAGTCACCTCTACCGTCACCGTGATGGTTCAGCTGAGACATCGCAACGCTCTCAATGCCCGCCAAACGGGAGGGATATGATCTGTGGCCAAGCATCAAGATTGTACATTCATGTCCCGAGGGTATTCAGCGAGGGGCTGTGCCGTGAGGGTGTTTAGCACTCTGGACTGTTGTATATTGGAATCAGAGACGAACTACCGACTACGCACAAGACCTTTGATCGCCATCTGTTGGGTTGTTCGCCGCAGCATCATGATCAAAATCCGTTCCAACCACGCTCCCCAGCTTACCACATGCGCTGATAACGTGGCGAGCCATGAAGCACCCGCAGCCAACTGCATACGTTGGAAGGACAGGGTCTAACGAGACAGGATGTCAACCCCTCTGCTGGGACTCGCGCCGTATCCCCGTGTTCACGTTTCTTCAGCAAAGAGAGACAATTCTGCAAGATCCGCTGACAGGATGTTGCACGTTGGAACACAGCCGCTCGGGGACCTCCTGTCAATATTCTGCAACCCTTCTATCCTGTCCCATCGGCGATCCTTTGAGACATCTAGATGTTCCCTCGGTCTGGTGTCCAGCTATTTCCAGTGAATCTAGGTGACTGGAGTGCTCCAGAATTGCCGTGAATGGAGCAGTATCGAAGAAACAACCGCCTAGAATAAGACTCAGTAGTATTCTACATGCGGAGGTGGTCTATCCCACTGCTCCCTTGTTACGACTGGCTATCACCCAGGTTCTTCGCCGGTCTTGGTGTAGAATAGTGCCTGTCGAGCCCCCCCACACCGATTCCACTCCATTTCCCCCGGTCCTACCAACACCCCCTGCCCACCTGGACGGAGTAGGAGGGTGGGATGATGACCGGTCAACGACCAACGGTGATGACCATCTTGCCCTCCAAGTGCGCCGGCACCGCCACCGATTCACCCGGGAACACCCACCCATAGCGAGCGTTTGGCCTTCTCCTTGTTACGCAAGCTGTCAAGCTCAAGAGATAACCTATCGGATGGTGTATCGTCTCGGCTGTCGTGTCGCCCCGGCAGAGGTGGGCATCTTCGGGTGGGAGATCAACATGAACTCGGAGAAACTTTACATGGCACTATCAGGGGGTGTACAAATATTTAAAGGGTTGATCTCGTCCTCGTCCCCCACACTAGGTCAGGCACACGTCCAACCAACTTCTCTTTCACCATCATAGTGTGAATTTCGTCATTATGGCTCGTCCTGGTATTCTTTTGCGCTTTTCTGAGAGGAGGCACCGTAGGGGTTCGAGCCTCAACGGACATATCAAGCCGGCGGACGCCACCAGTCCAGTCACTACACCAACACCTAGACCAGTCACACGAGAAAAATCCTGGAAGCATCGGTCTTTGGGGTCTATCACATGTAAGTAGATACTCGAGTAGGCCATGTCTGGTCTGTCTATACTAACAGCTACCCACCACAGCCATCTTCCATGGGCACAGCCAGGCGCCACAGAATGTCTATGAAAAGCCTGTTGAGGTTATCAGACAAGAGGAGTACCCTCACATGAACAATGGTGAGCTCCCACGAAGAATCTTGTCCATTCTTCGCCATCTCAAGACGACCAACTAACATAAACTAGGAACCTACCTCGACCACTCGGGCACAACCATCTACGCCGCCTCAACGGTGACCCGCTTCTCCCACAAAATGCTCAACAATCTCTACGGCAACCCCCATTCAGAAAACAAGCCGGCCAAAGTTTCAGGAGACATGGTCGACGAGATCCGCCTCAAGGCGTTGCGCTTCCTCGGCGCAGACCCGGAGCACTTTGACCTGGTCTTCACCGCCAACGCCACGGCCGCTATCAAGCTCGTGGCGGACTCGTTCCGGGATCTGGCCGAGCAGACGCGCTCCGGCTCTTTTTGGTATGGCTACCACAGGGATGCTCATACGTCTCTTGTTGGCGTGAGGGAGTTCACCCGCAACGGCGAGCACCACGTCTTTGCGCACGATCAGGAGGTGGAAGCCTGGCTTGAGCACCCTGGGGCTTACCACAGGGCGATTGACAGGGTGAGCAGCCTGGGCTTGTTCGCCTGGCCGGGCCAGTCGAATTTGACGGGGAGGAGACTGCCGCTCGAGTGGGCTGGGCGGGTTAGGAGATTGAGGGAGATTCAAGGGACGTACACGCTACTGGATGCGGCCGCGCTGGCGATGACATGTGATATGACGCGGGTGTTTGGTGACCCGTCTCAAGCACCGGATTTCACTTGTGTGAGCTTTTACAAGATATTTGGCTTTCCGGATCTTGGGGGGTTGATTGTCAGGAAGGACTCGGGGCATATCTTGACGTTGAGGAAGTATTTTGGGGGAGGGACGGTTACCATGGTGAAGACGTTGGGTGGTGGGCCGGTGTGGCATATTTCCAAGGGGGCGGAGATGACGGAGGAGGGGGGGTTGCATGATGGGTTGGAGGATGGGACGTTGCCGTTTCATAGTATTTTGGCGCTGGGGGAGGCGATTGAGGTGCAGAGGGATTTGTATGGGAATATGGAGAATGTGTCGAGGCATGTGACGGGGTTGGTGGTGAGGTTGTATGAGGGGTTGAGGGGGTTGAGGCATGGGAATGGGGGGGAGGTGGTGAGGGTTTATGAGGAGGGGGGTGAGGAGGTGACGGGGTATGGGGATTCGAGGAGGCAGGGGGGGACGGTGGCGTTTAATGTTTTTGGGGAGGATGGGGGGGTGGTGAGTTATGATCGAGTGGAGGGATTGGCGAACGAGAGGGGGATTTATGTTAGGAGTGGTGGTGAGTTTTATCTCAGGGGAGGTTTGGGGAAGAAGGATGCTAACATTGATCTAGGGATTTGTTGTCCTGGTGGGATTTTTACTGCGTTGCAGTATGAGCCGTGGCAGTTGAATAGAGCCAAATCGGCTGGGCATCGGTGTGGTGAGTCTACTATGAAACTTCTCGCCATGTTGGACATGCTGACACTCTTCACAACAGGTCCCCATGGTTTAGGTGTAATCAATGATCTCCCGACAGGGTACATCTCCCCCTCCCTTTTGCACCTTCTTTCCACGATACTAACAACACCTCCAGCGTCGTACGAGCGAGCCTCGGAGCAATGAGCACAACCAAAGATGTCGACACACTCATCGAGTTCCTACGAGAGATGTTTGTCACTCCGACTACAACACGAAAACGAGGTCACAGCCGCAAGAACAGCAACAGTAGCACTATCAGCAACTCTTCTGTAGGGTCTGTAGGGTCAGTAGCGTTTGAGCCCAAGCCTGCTGAGACGTTTGCGGTACAGGCGCCTCCACGGGTTACTTCGGGGTGCTGCTCCCTTTCATGACGGTAGTTTGGTAGGCTCTTGGTTTGGTTGGAATGGTTGTATATTTGGGGTGTCAGGTTGGTTAGGATGGGTTGGTACATATGGTGAATGGATGGGTCGGTTGGGTGGGTTTTGGTGGTTTACTTGTCGTTTATGGATACGGAAGGGTAATTGTTGAATACCATGTTCTGTTTCCCATCACCTCTCTCCCATGTGCACAAAGCTCCTGCAATCTAATACCTGAAATCGCGGCCTTGATGCCAACAAGCTTTTGTCCCGCAATGAAAGGTCAGGTAGTCTGATGATCATCGAGATCCGAGGAGAAGTGCTTCACCGTGGCAATCTTCCCCTCAAAGACTGAGACCATGTCAAAAAGGATAACCAACAACGCAGCGGTTGTGAGAAAAAATAACATACAACACCGAGGATTCCCCAGTGGTCACCCACCTGAGTACTGGTTCGGCCCTCAGCTGTTTGACTCGGGCAGAGCGGACGGGATGCCGTATTTTCAGCTGGGTATGGTCGTATGTGACGGTTTGGGTCAGGAGATGGGTTCATGTGTGGACAATGAGACTGAGGCAAAAAACAGGAAAAATACATACAACACCGAGGATTCCCCAGTGGTCACCCACCTGAGTACTGATTCGGCCCTCAGCTGTTTGACTCGGGCAGAGCGGACGGGATGCCGTATTTTCAGCTGGGTATGGTCGTATGTGCTAGTTCAAGCAGGTAATTGAAAATAAGGGCCACTGGCCACAAGTGAAGACACTAAGCGGCTTGGGTTGTAGAAGGGCATGAATGGGACAGCAGGAAAGGACATGATACTTTTGTTTTATTGAGATCCCATGTGCAACTCGGAAGTCCTAAGTCAAGGTCTCATGAGCGAGCGGACTTTGAACTGTGTCTAGACTACTGTGCAAGCGTGATTACTATCTTGACATGCGTCCTCTTGTTTTAATTTAGAAGACATCCATCTCTTCTCACACACCTCGGCTTGGGGTGAACGCTTCCGCCCTCGACGTAAATGCGTGTTGAATGTTTGACATTTGTATGTTTTTTGGCTTTTCACTAAGTGGCGATCAATCTATGTGTGGGGTTTCGCTGTATTTTATTGTCATGTATCGTACTTGAGGAGCATTGAGGTTTCGTAAGTAGCTTGAAAGACGCAGTTTGATGTCGAATTCTAGTTGGTGAAGAAAGTGATATAGCTTTTAGTGGATCGACTTTCAGGGGATCTGACGCCCTGTCCTTCATGGTTGATTACATATGTGTTGAGAGGGTGTAACTATCACATGGGGAAGAGCATCTGGTTGTTCGAGGGATTGAGCTGTAGGCCGTATTTTGGTGTGAACTTCTAAATATGAACTATACTCCATTGCTCTACAATGCTAACGAAATGGTGGTGGTCACAAACCGGCCTTGCCGAACTTCAGTTTCGTTGTTGTGCCTTACCTATTGAGCAAGATAATTATGTAGGTTCAGCTGCAATCCTTTCAGAGGTAAGTGCGATCCTTCACTGCAACTCTAAATAGGTGGTTACATCAGATCGCACAGTATGATGTCAAGATCGCCGTCAATCTCAATAACGTTGTCAATCCCTTGATCGTAAAACCCTCTCTCCAGGAATAGCATCAATTCCACCCACGAATCTCATCAACTCTGATGTTGTTTACTTACAGCCTCCCGGGTAGGTGACGTGACCAGCTCCCTCATTCTCACATTTATTGCACAAGCATACACACCCCCTTTGCCACCTCCCTCTCCTCAACCGCTCCAGTCAACAAAACACATTTCCATGAAGAATTTCAATTTGAGCTTGCTTAAACGATCCCCCAAACTATTGTTTTGGCTTCAGATTTTGTAGCTATTTCCAGATGTGCAATTTGTCAACAAGGTCTATATATATACCAACCTGATGTTACATCCAATTCCTTTCCATTCACAACCCCCCTTACCCCCCTTCCCCAAGTTACATGCAGCAGCAGCAATAATTTAGACAACATAGCAAAGTGTGCATCTATCGTTAACCAGGATTCACAAATAGATCCCACCAACCAGTACCAATTTGCAAATGAATGTTGCATTTCAGCAGCTCAGCTAGCAAGTTGATCATTGGTTTTTGCATGATTGTGATGACCGATGACGGAGGGTTTCTTCCTCTCTGCTTTTTCTCCATGTCATGATTCCACGGCGTCGAGCAAGATTTGCTTCTTCCTAAAATCTCCCTGCATCAAAAGGTGCGATTTGTTGAGCCTATCCCCACCAACCAGCTCCTAGCCTTTCACACATCAAAAAAGAAAAAAAGTAAACAAACACCCACATATTTGGCTGAACCATGAACCCGGAAACAAGGCCATCCGAGCAGATCACTCCGCCTAGATTTGAGATGGTCAAATGTGAAAAGTGACAGAAAACCGTTTTCTTGTGTGTTGGGCTGAAAAGCCAAAAAAAAAAAAAAAAAAAAAAAAAAAAAAAAGGAAGCATAGTCGATCTGTTCGCTTGTGGGAAAGAAAAGGCGCCACGAGATGTCTGAGTTTGTGACAGTTGTCTAGGCCCACTTGACTCGACAAAGTTTGAAAGACATCTTGTCTCGGAAGGGATGTGTCAAAAGGCTAGAAGGTGGCCTTCTCGTTCTTACAAAGGTTGGTAGTGTCTATAGTCTGTCCTGTAATCATAACGATGGCCAGAGAGGTATTGAAATCACCATGTCGGGAATGCCCGCGGGCGGGATCCGGCCCGGATCAGAGACATGCGATACTGCATGCAATCCCAGCTTAATATGTCGTCCAGGGAATATCCCTACCACAATGAGCTGTCCAGCATATGCAAGTCTGAGAGGCCCTCTCTTGCTTGTCAGCCCCCCTTGATAGTCGACGTCAAGATATTCCCGCTTCGAGAGTCCATACCGGCACTCCGAGAACAACAAGACCAAAGAAGAAAAGACTCGCTGCCCAGTGGAGTGTAGTTAATCGGATCCACACAGGATTATGGGTAGCATTCCGCAGGTGCTAGCACACGCCTGGCAAGGCAACATCAACCACCTCTCGCTTCTGCTCGATCGGTTCGAAATGCCGCCGAATGTCCCTCCGAGAAAGCCCACTCGGTACTGCTTTGATATCGAAGCCAAAAGGAGAGCGCAAAAAGCAGCGCCGTTGGGCAGCGTTCCATTAACAAACCCGAAAGCTGCGATGGAGAGATGCAATGTAACGGACTTCGCACGAACACCCCAAGTGCATGTGCGGGATTTCCCTCGAGGGCATCCTCTCACCCCGTTGCAAATCCCGCAAAGATGGTTGATGGCGGATGGCGGGTTTGGGACAGTTCGTGCGTGTGCCGTCTTGGAACGGCAAGGAAATCCAGCCATGTCGTTGTGGCGGCCAACGGTTGAGCCTCAGAAGCGGACCGTTTTGGTGGAACCGTGGGGAACCGGGACAGTTGGATTGATATTGCCCTTCATTTGTCATTGAGCCTGGCTGGAAGCAAAAGATGAGGCACTGTGCATTTGATCAGCTAACGTCTTGTCGATGGTTTGTTGTTTGCCCGCACGCTTCTCATTCGCCCACATGATTGACAAGAGAGGGATGACGATATACCAAGATGAGATCAGATGGAAGGGTGAGGTGCTGCGAGACCCCTGATCACAGAACGGGCCGACCACCGCATTTTGCCAGAATGCAGTACCACTTTCACCTACTCTGGGGCTTCGGTCATTCTCGACACAAGCAGTAAAAAAACACACTTATCTCGGGTTTTTGGCTAAAAGAAGATCAAACACTCAGAGGGGTTGCGTTCTCGTCTCGACCCACGGCTCACCGTTGTGGCACGACTTTTTGGCATCCATAGACTCTTGGACTAGACAGACCGGTCAGAAAACTAGATTATAACGATATAATAATGTCTATGCAGATATTGCATTGACTATTGCAGACGTGCTTACGGAGAGGTGCGACAATCGGGCCAGAACTTTCCATCAAGGAAGCTGTTCCGAAGACCCGAGACGGAGCGAATCCTGAATCCGTAGGTAGATAATGCAGATTCTGCCCTGATGATACTCTGGCTTGCTGATATTCCATGATGTTTTGTGGAAGCGAGCCGGCTACGACTTGACAGAACCCGCGGCAACGGCTCTTTCGCTCCGCTCTTGCTTGCAGTCCAACGGCTTCTTGTTGTTGCAAGCCGCTGACCGTTGCGATGAGGGTCGATTGACGAGAGATTTTGTTGGGCCATCTACGGCATCCGAATCGGACCCTGAAGGAATTAGCGACCCATCGCGTCTGTTTGATGTGATAGAGGCACATGCTTTGGCAAGCAGATGCCAAGATTTGATCTCCCTCAGAGTGCTCTGGATATGCTCCCCTTTCATATCGTCAAAGTGTGCAGGCTAATTCACGTGTTGAGGAAGAGAGAAGAGGGTAATCTATCCAAGACCAACATGAGAACAGCCTTGGTTAGAGTGGCTGTAGGTTTGAAACTTGGGCGTCGAAGGAGCCGGCAGCAGGCAGAATCTGGTTTTCGAGTCAGAGTGGGTGAAATTTCGCTGTTGTTTCCAGTTTCAATATCCCGGAGGAGTGGTTGGTAACACCAAGCTGGCCAGTGTCGCATTGGCTGTGACTTGGGAGGAGAGAAGAGAAATTCGAGGGGAGTGAATTGTCATCACTGGCTGCATGGGTCGAGTTAGTGGCTCGTCACTGCTCGTATGATGGCTTCGCTCCTTCGTCAGTGGTCGGGCTGCCATATGGTGGAAAAAAAATAGGACCTGAAGTGAGCGGCGTCGTGGGGTGGTTATCTGTGCGACATCAGTCTATGGCGCTTTGGAGCGCGCTAGCTGCCAGTGTGGCTGGCGGGTAACAACGGGTGCTATCCAAAAGAGGGAGCGACCATTGCCGATCGCCAGCCCGGCTTTCTTGTCCCTCACCTCTGACCAAGCCATCTGATAATCTCCCCGCCATGAATGTGGGGTAGTGGGATGTGTAGGAGTCGCAAATTTCCCAGCATTTCCATGCTTGTGAGGGGACAAACAGGGAGCACTGGAAAAGCAAGTGTCAGCGTCTACACACCACCCCAATCGGCGTTTGATCGCCCGAGCCTGACATCATCGGAGCTTCCGACACAGGACCTCCAAAGCAATCTGTGATCGACGATTCTGCACTCAGAGCTATGGCGTATTCGTATGCGCATTTCGGCCTTGTCAGATCTCGTTCATCCCATGTCAGAAGGCCTTGGAGCAGCACAACCCTGGAGATCCTTCTCCTCGGCTTGACTGTTGAGTTCCCGCGTTCGTCGGACCGCTTTGTCGGCTGGTCCACTGTGTCGGGCGTGTTTTGGATCCACGTGGGTGTTTGCGGGACGAGAGTTGACAGCTCCATTTCGTGATGGCCGGTTTTGGTGATGGGCAGCGCAATGTCATGTTGAGGTGAAGGCGGCGTGCGTGCAAGGTAAGGTAGGGTTGCATGATCGGAAAGTGGGGATCCAAGTGGCTTGAAGCACGACATCAAAAATGTAGCCGGCATTTTGCCAGCTCCCATTCCACTGAGAGTGTCCCAACACATGCCCGCCTCAGGCCTGCTTGCTTCCATGCTTGCTCTCTGCTGAGGTGCTGGAGGGTGCGGTGCCAGAAATGAAAGGGTTGCTGCCAGTATGCGCCAAACCCGAGCTCCCTCAATACCACTATGATCATCAGCTTTCGTCCGAAGTCGCCTCCTCGGAGCGAGGTTGCATGCAAGGTACCCGACACTAGTACCTGAGCAGCTGCCAAAGCAACCCTGAAAGCCTGGTTTTGTCTGCTCAGAGAGATTGCTCAGTACGTCGCATGACGGCGCTTAGAGGTCCCCCTATCTCCGATGCCAACAGGAAACGTCAGAGGTCAGACGCCTGCCTACTTGCTTTGAAGCTTGACAACCCTTGATGGCGATCACGTTCTGGAAGCCCACAAGGAACACGCGCGGCCAACAAGCAAGCTCCGTTGGGCCGAAGTCGAGGCAACGGGAGCGAACAAAGAAGGAGAATAACCAACTTCTTCCAAACAGCCATATCACCTGCGACAATAAAAGAAAGAAACTCTCGCAACCATCACCACGAGAGAGCTCAGGAAAAAATGGAATGATAACGTCCAATTACGGTCCGGAGCGTAACCAGTGATGGAGAGAGCGCTTAGCCTAATCAGGGATTACGAGGCAGGGACAGGGGAGGTTGCGATCCAGCGCGTGGACCTGTAAGAGGTCTCGATACGTGATCCTTGACAATTATTACACATTTGCCCAGGGGTAACAGACCTGCCTTGACTTGACTCGGCAGGGGGGGGGGGGGGTGCATTCATTTTTGACACTCTCACTGACAGCACCATGAACTTCCATGAAGCAGCCAGGGGCCTCAGCTATTCTACGCTGCCGTGAAGAAAATGATTAGCCCTCCCCTGGCTTGACTGGGCAGGGGGGGGGGGGGGTGGCATTCATTTTGACAACTTTCACTGACAGCACCATGAACTTCCAGGAAGCAGCCAGGGGCCTCAGCTATTCTACGCTGCCGTGGAAGAAAATGATTGATGTTGCTTTCATCCAACGCTATACTGTCACTGCAAGATGGACCTGTCTGGCAGCGGTCCCGCGGCATACATTCCGGGCTTCTTCTTGATCGCCTTCCGCGCCGGCTCCTCAGATTCCAAGATCGGATCTTCCTCCATGGGGTCGCTCCCGGCCGAATGCCACCCTTTTGCGCATGAACCACTGACAACCCTGGGCCAGACTGCCAGAATACTACCACTTCTCGAGAGGGACGAACAAAGAAACCAGCACGCCCCCCAAATCCGACCCTTGAGCGATGAGGCGTCGTCGTGGTCAAAGCCGTCGCTCCGCTACAACGATACTACACCCCCCCTATACTTGGCCCTCCTATAGATGCTCATTGCCGTACCACATCAACAATGCGGTACGCGACTGCGTATCTGAGACGACGGGTATCGACAAGATGGCTGTCAAAGCTGCCCAGCCGGGCACCGGATTGGCAGGGCAGTTGGAGGATCGGGCCTACCTTGGTACCCGTACATACTAACCAACTTGGGGATCAACGGAAGAACTGGGGGCATCTCCACCGAAGCTTGGTAGAAGCTGGCAAGGAAGAATTGGACCTTCTTCTTTCCGGAGAGCCAAATGCTGGAAACGGTGTTTCAGGCTTTGGCAATGATCAAAGGATGAATTAGCCCGGAGGCCCCTGGGAGAGGGAGGGGACAGCATATCCATTTTTCCAAGTTAGCCTCTCTCGCATGGAGCAGCGCTCAGTTGAAGCCGATTGAATGAATCTAACGCCCACACCTATTAGATTTTTTTTTCTCCGAATTTTTGCTAAGGTAGGTATTCTGCCATCCAGACACTGGCAGTTGTCGGTGTTTGGCAGCTCCTGCAGGTTGCACGGTCGGTACCTTCCTTGTCCGGCTGCTCTCATTGTGACTCCGAGTGCCGTCGTTCCTGGCGGCAGCTGCAGAAGAATAAAGAGAGGTTTCAACAACAAGTGAAGGCGCAACCTTCTCCATTAATATGTGCTCTTTGCCCGGGTCTCGCCACTGCCTTAACACTGAACCCCTCCCCTTTCCCCCATGTCCATGTCCAACTTCCACATCACGGGCAGTCTCCAGAACGACTTTGTCTCCAATATAACTCGACGAACTTCCTTTTCCCTGAATCAACCTCGGCCAGTCAGCAGGAGTCCAGTCCTCGGCTACCGTTCCCACAAATCTTCGAGACCCCTTCCTGACATCTGCCTCGTCGTTCCGCACTCGGCTGGCTTCCCGGAACCCGCGTCTGACACCACCAGAAGGGACACTTTCTTTGCCACCTTCTTTTCGCATAGCCAACCGCACCAGACACCAGCTTGGGTCTTCTGGGGAACCCGGTCACCGGTGAAGCAATAACGAAGAACAAGAAGAAGGAAAAAAAGAAAGAAAAAAAGGCAAAGTCACCTACAGGGAACAGCGCCGTGAAGCAGGTCAACCTAGCCGCAGCCTTCCGTCTACCTACCTCACCTACCTATGGCCCGTCCCTAGCGTGCAATACAAGCCTACCTACCTGCCACTGCCGGCAGCCATCAGCATCACCTCGATCCTGCTCGGCATCTTCCTCGTGGCACAGAAACTGCACTGGCTGCTGCTGCCGCCGCGCCATTTGTTATCAAACACCTCTTGGTTCTCGCGGGTACAAGGGGCTGAGATCTGCCAGCTGAATGGCCAAGATAGGACCACTGGTGGTGCTTATCCTGCAATCCGGCAATAGCAGCAAGCCAAACGATCATCCCTTGGTTCACCACTGCGAGCACGCCCTTTGGCCCAGCATCAGGAACGACCTGCTCCATTCCTGAAAAAGAAAAGACAAAGGCCAACATCTGCTTAGCGGATTACCTTAATTAGACAAGACCTGGAGTGATCACTTACCCTGTGCGGCTCATCATAGGCGCTGCAGGCACCTCACCTATTTCCCCACGGCCACCCACCACCAAGACAAAAAGCTCCCTCCTTTCCCAACCAGGAGCACGTCACAACCCACATGCCACTTGGAAGCCTCTGACATCTTCCATACCTTTCACACGCACACATCTCTCGCGCCCGACGGTCCCGATCTCGAATTCACTGTCGCCGTCGACTGCACTCACCAGCCAAAGCTGCCGGAACGTCGCACAGGAGCTTCCAAAAACAGCAACTGCGGGATTCCCTGCCCTGGCCACACTCAACCATACAACAGTACCTCGATCAGGTCAGGTACAAAAGTTTGGGGTGTGAGCCGTGTCTTCGACGCGGCCTACCAAACTCGCCTTGGGCGTCCGGTTCCATTCCAGCCAGCCAGCTCTCGCTTCGTTTCCTTCGTGCACTGCAGGAATCTCTCCACGCTGCAGCCAGCTGCGGACTTCCACTGGAAACCTCCTTCTCACGCCCCCTCCTCCTCCCCCCTTCTGCCCTTCCCGGGCACCCACCTACGACACGCGCATCTACCCTCACATCCACCTCCACCGCATTCACAACCACAACCATAACCACCCTCCAGACCGGCCGGCTACTCAGCCAGTCTGCCTCGGTCTTCCTGCAGCGCACTGTGGCTGCTGGCCATACTCTCGGCATCCACATATAGCCCGAGCTTTGCTTTGTCGTGTCAACCCTTGCAGGAACAAAAGCAAGAACAGTTGCTGTACTTGGCAGTTGAACGCTGCCGCTGCCTGACAGCTTCTTGGACGGATCAAGGCCACCACTCAGACCTGAAAGGGGTGTATTTTAATCGCCAGTCACATCGCTTGGATCTCCTTCGCCCCAGGCGCCGCCGACCACAAGATCAACACCTCCATTGGTCCGCATGCTACTCGCTACCTGTCAACCGTCCCGTTTTATCTGTATCGCCGCCAAACGCCGTGGCTCTTCTCCCTCCTTGGTCCGCCGTCATATCTGAATCAAAGGAGCCCATCACTTGTCTTTCCGTCCCGGACCGCAAACAAAGCCCTTGTCATTCGGCACCATCTTGGACACCAGAACCGCCCAGGCTCGAAAGCTTAACACTATGTCATAAGAGCCCCTTGGAGTCCAAATCAGCACAAGCCGTTTTGCAGTGAGGGTAGCTCGACATCGTTGCAATATCTGGCTTCTGGAACCTTGGTCGCGGACCCGCAAGTAATAATCCATTACCCGCTTGCCACCCGTTGTCTTGTCCGAAGCTCAAGACGACCCCGGTATCTCTCTGACCATTTCAGGCGCGAACCAGGGCAGCAGCTGTCGTACATGGCAGTCGTTGCTCCGCCACCCCTATTAAAATCGAAGTTGGACCTCTGGGAATCAAGCGAATCCGCTATACATCCTGCCGTACCACCTTCAGCGCCCATGACAGACATAATGTCATACCAATATCCGCCGCCGCCTCAAAACGGCGCTGACATGGACATGTCGCCATCGGGATACTATCCCAACTATTCAGTCTCTTCACACACATCATCAGGAATGGATTCGGGGGTCCCATCCAGAGACCGTTCAGACTCGATGAAAATCAAAAGGTCACTATCGACGCCGGCCGTCGGCCCATCTCCATCCCAGGCCCCGGCACCCCAATCCACGGCATCGCAGCAGTCGACAGCCCAAGGCCAGGACCCGCTTGGGCTGGCAGGAGAAAAGAGAAGAAACAAGCTTGGCTATCATCGGACATCAGTCGCATGTGGTAAGTCTCGCCCACTTGGAAGTTGTGAAGCTACCCTTGTGTGAGTATGGTGCTAAAAACAAGACGATTAAGGCCACTGCCGCCGGCGGAAGATTAGGTGTATACCTTCCCAAAACGACGTGCAGGGTCGATGCATGAACTGCATTCGACTCAAAAAGGACTGCAGTTTCTTCCCAGTAGATCAACAACCACCTCCAGACACGAGACAAAAGTCGGCGTCGAGGTCGTCTGTTGGACCCAAAATCGCTTCAGCCTCTTCATCGCCGGCCATGCAGAGTGGAATGCCGTCCGACATGCATGGACAACAGTCCTATTCCCAACTCACCATACCATCAATGCCTCCGCCGATGAAGCCAGCTGGCTCCGAAGCCTACACCCCTGATTCCAAGAGTAAGAAGAAACCCCGAAATCCAACCCGAGGACAACTTGCTGAAACTTCCAAAGTCCCTTCGAGCGCTTCGAGCTCTCGAGCGTACGATTATGGGCAGTCCGGGATAACAAACTGGATGGCAGATGCTAGCCCGAGCTCCTCTAAACCGAGCGACTTGAATACCAACTGGCGAACTTATCCGGCTGAATCCCCCATAACGCCGGCTTTTTCCCCATACACGCCACACGCACCGCCTCCATCCGCAACCTGGTCAACGCCCGTAGGCTCCGAGCCTGCTCGTGACGATCTGGCCTGGTCATCGTCGTACCCGGCGCCGCCACCCCGATCTTTGTCCTTTGGTGCCGAGAGCGTCTCGAGTCAAAGCCAGTACCCATCGATTTCGCATGTCAGCAACCACTCGAGTCGAGATTACAGTCGAAAAGCCAGCTCCATGTCTGCCGACATGTATCCTGCCCCCATCTCAACCGCAATTCCCGGCGTTGATACGACTCCCGGATCGACGCCAACTCATGGTCTGGCGCTTTCCGCTGGGGCTGCCCCATCATCTGCCTATGGAACCTGGCAGCAGCCATACCCATATTCCAAACCCAGTGATGGTTATGGGGGAGCGTGGGCATATCAAGAATCGGGGCATCCAGGAGATCAACATTCGACTGAGCACGCCTATTATGAGCGATAGAACCAGCGAATCTCATTATGTGGTGGATAGGCTGTGGTCTATGCTGAGCTTGTTGACCAGCACAAATGGTTGTGTGAAATTAGGCGGGCGGGATTTGGGATTGTGTGTGGCACTATTCGCCATTTCGACTGTCAGCCGCGGGGCTGCGCCTTGGTTTTATCGACAAAGTGCCATCCAGCTTCTCGCACACCTTCAACACTCTTCATGTCGCGGCTTTCGGGTCAGTCGGTGCGATTCCTGGAACTTCTCAAACAGGTTGTGCGCGATGCAAGTTCTTCAATCGGGAAGTTGGGTCTGAGCGCAAACCTTCTTTGGACGCCAAATCGGGCGACTTGCGACACACGACACACCACATGAGACCTCGGGTGTACCCATGAAAGGCTCTCCATCTGCAAGTTTTGAGCATACGACGAAAGATCGATGGCTTGTGACCCGATCACACGAAATGTGGCTGACAGCAAGGATGCGAACCGAGCGCCTTGTCCACCACAGTTCACCTCGTCGGCCTCCGCAGTCCCAACTTTAAGTCCGGCCGACAACGATCATGACGGGGCATATTTTTGATCAAACCAGGAGGCGATGGAAAGAGAGATTGGTGATTATTGACACAGAACCGAGTGAAGCAGCAGTTTACTCATCTTACCCCTTTTGATCAAGAAAAGACTTGGGCCAGTGTGATGATGATTGCCAACACCAGCTCGGCATATGACTCGTCATCACCAGATTCAGTAGCGCGATCCATAAAAGCCGGGCAACTATATATCAACGGGCCGTGTCGTGGAGCAGGCGGTAACCGGGCGGAACGGCACGGGACGGGAGACTGACGGGAGTGCCCACACCTTCATCTATCCGGTGAGAGCAGATGCTTCCGGGCTGGTCACACGGCGGTAAACCAGACACACCGGTTCGGCGCATTGCCCCAAGGTGGAAGGACGTTACACGAGAGAAAAAAAAGGGACGCCACGCGATGAACGTGGGGGGAACACTGGGGAATAATATGACTCGTCGACAACAGCACAAGTGCGGCCAACACACCTGGGTTAGAAATCGGAACCACGATCGGGGTGGTCAAATTGCATCTTTGAGGGCATTGGGAGAAGGTTGTGGAAAACAGATACATGGGGCATCAATCAGGGTCATGACTTTTTTTCTTGTTCTTTGTTCGCTTCTATTTTCGCGGATTTTACTGTGGTTTTGTTCTTTTTCATTTGTGTTTTTTGATATATGAGTTTTTATTTTCCGAGTTGAGACGCTGTCATTTGTATGATGGGACTAAATAGCGGGTTTGAGGTTATGGGGAAGGCAAATTTGATGTGGAAAGTGGAACATGGAAAATGGATGGGCTGTTTGTTTGTTGTTTACATATTATATATACATTCTGCTGCTAAACATGCAGTGGTGTTCTTCTGACGCCGAAGCGTTCTGCATCTTTTAGGTTGAATGGAACTGAAGATGTGTTTTATGTTGAGCTTTGTGTTTTGAATACCGCTGGGTTTATAGATGTGCAGATGGGAATGAGGTCAAACGGTGAATGACATGCCTCGAATGTGAGTGGATGTATATAGATGTCTTGAAGTTGTGGGTTGAGATGGAAAAGAGATGAATGCTAGATGAGTTTTTCTGCCGAGCAGTGAATTGGTTGTTGACAGACTCTCGAATATTTGCCAATGGTGAAGAGAATGATGTGTATTGTAGGCTGTTCAATATTTTATTCAAGTGACAGGATCAACAACCTATTATGAATCAGAATGATTCAAGCTACTCTTTTTTTTTTCTTTTTTTCGCAAGCCCGTCCCCCCTTTTTTCCCAACACTAACTGACTATAAGCTCAAAAGTCGACATAAACTTGATAGCGGTTTCTTTTGGTTGACTAGAGCTCCGTTGCAACTTCGGAGACATGGTTCAGTGTGTTTTTTTTTGTCTTCAATGGGGTAAGTAAGTAGCAACTGAATGAATCTATGGGACATTCATTGCGCTCTCATAGCAGTTGAGATGACTGGAAGAAAGTATAGACACATGTAGGTAAGGTAGGTAGGAGGTCGTGTATGATATGTATGCAGTAAAGCAGATACATATCACCTACTGTGCTCTATGGTGGAAAGGTGAAATAGGTATGCACACGCCCTTGCGAACCCAGAGAATGAGGCGCCATGGGAAAGGGTGTATACATCATCATGTACATTGTGTCAACTTGCAGAAGTCTTCGTCAAAGGGTCAGGTGAGTCAAGGTCAAAATTTGCGGTCTGACTTGTGGTAGAAAAGGTGAAATTGGAATGTATACATATATAGTAGTGCCAGTAATGTACTATCGAGTGCGCAAGGTGTCAGTGATAGGTTGGTAGATAACTTCAACAATACGTCCGGTAATATCGTAGCCTTGTAGGGATATGCCTGTCTGTTCCTCCATTCCAATGCTACGGGGTGTACTCCCATATTCAGTGACGGTTACAGTCATATCACACCGGTGTTCTATTGCAGCTAGTATACCAGCGTGCTATCGTAGAGTCCTATTCCCAGTGAACATCTGTGACATCGCCAAAAACTACACCCTCCCCCACACTTACAACTCCGTCCCCCGCTAGGATTCCCCAGACCCCGCGAATTTTTTGCGTCCGTTCGCCCTGCCGTGGACCCCACAACTTGGCGCGCCCCCCGGCCGCTTTGCTTCCCCCGCAAAACCCACTTTTCCGCCTGCCGCCGTCATTCCCGTCCGTGTAACGGCGCGCGACGCGGGCTGGGCGTGTGGTTCTGCCGTCTCTCGCACGGGAGTATCCAGTGTCTTTCTTGTCTTGTATGATCTGTGCCGTGTTTGTTCCCTCTTCATGCCAATCCACCTGTTCGTGTGCCTGCCGTCCCGTCCTTGTTCTTGCTGCCCTGAAACCGAAACTTCTCGTACCTTTCCAGATCCAAATCTGGGACTGATATTATAAATGTAAGCTGGTTATTGGTGGAAGTATCAAGGCTAAGAAAAAGACTCGCGCAGCACGTGCCGTAAATCGAATATAAAACCGGTACAGGTACATTGTCATTTCGTCGTATCCAACAAGAGGGGCCAGTTTGTTTCGCTGAAGGGAACGAGTGGACAAGTCGGGATGTAGCAGTGCAGGCACTCCAAAAGCAGCAGCAGTTCATGCCGGCAAGCCAACCTTCCGGTCTGTCGTGGTAGTTGAGGGCGCTTCGAGCCGAGCGCACGGCTGTTTGTATGTAGCCTTTCAAACGTACTTCATCCTCGATCAATGGACCCCGAACCATGTCATGGCCTCCTAGATTGACAGCCTTTGTCACCTTGACGATCCACCAAACTTCCCCAGTAACAACGAGCAGCCCCCAAGGAATTCCAATTTGGGTTGTCGGTCAGGAAGAGGTCTCGTCTTGATAATAGCTGTCCATTTTAAGAAGTGAAGTCGGAGCAATCAACCTGTGAGCTTCCACAACAACACCATCAACGCAACGTAGCACATGAAGCTCAACAAAACGAGCAACGCCACGCTGTTACCGCTGGTCCGGAATTTCTTCTTGACAACGAGGGTCCTTCTTCGCCCCCGTACGGTAAGGCCTGTTGGGGTTGCTGGATCGTTTTCTTCGCCGCTACTACTTTCGTCTTCGCTCTCGACCGAATCAAAGAACTGACGGTTGCCTTCGTACCGCCGGTAGATGGCGACTAGCATAATAGCCGTACCATAACAAGCGAATAAGGCTCCTATGGGGTAGAACTCCGAGGTGAAAATCTTGAGGATGACTAGCGCAAAGGAGAACTGTGATAGAGCCGTGCGCATATAGGCACCCTCAAAGGTTCGTTGGGCAGCGCGGATTTCCACCAGCCTGAACAAGTAAAGCGTGTGAGTAGACTGCCTCGTATGTGCATATGGTGTACGACAGAACTGCAGGGGAGTGTCCGAGATATGATCTAGATGGGGCAACTAGCCTGCGACCACACGCCTCGATCTGAACAACAAATGGTCTAGAGTAGGCGAGATCGTTCGGGCCCGCTACACGTTCCTACCCGTCAAAAATGCCCCGTGCCGTCTGTATGAAAAGACTTCCGCAAGTGCGGGGAACGGCAGAAGAAGAGGCGGCAGACACAAGCATGGTGGCGGCGTGCATATCACTGACAGGTCTCCACCAAGAAGGACCGATAATCATACCAAGATGGAAAGGCGGCAAGAAAAGGGGGGAGGCTGGATCGAAACAAGGACAATATGGTGACGAATCAGGGGCAGGTGAGGCGTCCAAGGTAAGGAGGTGTGTGAACAATTGGAAGCAAGGAGAAATAGAGGCTGAGGTGTTGGTCGTACAAGACCGGCACTTCGGAACGACATTGCGAAAGATGAGATCAAGACTCACTCTTGACTCGTCAGCACGACTGATCGTGCGCGGTGAAGACGCAGATGGAGTCGGTCCTGGGGGTAAGGATGGAGGGCCTATACATAGCAGACGTCAGTTATTGGTGCTATTCGGGGAGTGATGAGCGCGCGACGCACCTCGAGCATGGACGCCATGCTGAGCGGCTTGTGTTGGTGGTGCTGACTGAGGAATTGATAAGTGAAAGGGCAAGCTGCCCGACTTCGTTCGGGGCCGAATCTATTATTATGAGATTAAGCGTGCTGTAGCGCGGATGTGATGAGGTATGAGATGGATGAGAAGATGAATGATATCGTGGGCTGTGACTGTTGTTTGTTGAAGGTTGCTTCGGTCAGTGGGTCTTGCGTAATTTTGGGGCGGGTTGTGTTATTGTTAGCCTCAAAGCACGCATAACCCTAACCCGTAACAAGCTGGGCCCGCAGCATTCTCGCATACCTCACACAGGGAAGACAGTGAATGGTATGTTTAGAGCTCTGAGTAATTGAAAGAATATATGATTTTGAATGTCAATTGCAGTTTTGAGTGTAGTTAGCTATACAAACACTGGAGGCAAATAGAGCTGCCATCGTCACCCAGAACCTATGAAATCCATAGTGACATGGCTGGCTCCTGAGTACAACCTGTGTGTGGTTCTCTGACCATTTCCGATGATCATCAGACGCGAAATGTTACATGATCAATCTTGTAACACAGAATATCTTATAGAGGCTCGTAAAAATGGAGATTATCTCAAAGGTAAACCTGGACTCAAGACCTCTAGATAAGTAAAGCTCTCAAAGTGTCAGAATTACAGTCAAGAATCATCTGCTCACTGGAAGCAAGAACAGCTGTCCAATCATTTCACAGCATTTACACCAAAAATCCCAACCAATCAACTCACACCATTCTCACCTAGCGCAGCTCTACCACCCCTGCAACAGTGGCCCGTGCCTGATATCGATTGCAGGGTTCCCGCAGCACAGTGGAGCAGCCTTGTCGATTGAAGCTTCGTGGCCGCTTCATTCGAGAGAGAGCTCCCGAGCAGCTCGCGGGCGCAATCATCACCATTGAAACATTTCCCCATCGACGACGCCCTCCTCCACAAACTCACACTCACCCACCCAGTTCCCTCTTTTTCTTCAACAACAAACACCCACGCAGCTTGTACCCTCAAAAACAAGAAACAATGGCCCAAAAACGCAACAACGCCAACCGCGGCGTCTCGCCAAACCCAAAGACAGCCACCACCACCTCTTCCTCAACCACCACCGCCCCCCTCCCTCCAACCCCCAACCCTGCCGCTCCCATCCCAGGAAGCAGCAGACCAACATCCTCCCACTCCGCCACCACCACCTCAGCCAAAACCTCCGCCTCCGCGCCCGTCGCCCAGACCTGGGACAAGGTCGTCTCCAACCTGACAACCCACTACCAGAAATCCACACCCCAGCGGACGAAGCTGCTCGATGCGTTTATGGCCTTCTTGGTGGTGGTGGGGGTCCTGCAGTTTGTGTATTGTGTCTTGGCGGGGAATTACGTACGTTGACATCCAAACAATAATCTGGCTCTTATCCAGGGGGAGGCAGGGGGAGAGATCCCGGGTTGTATATGTTGCTAACATGTGGTATAACAACAGCCCTTCAACGCCTTCCTCTCCGGCTTCAGCGCGACAGTCGGGCAGTTTGTTCTCACCGCGTCGCTGCGCATTCAGACCACCGAGGCGAATAAGAAGGACTTTCCGGCGGTTTCTCCCGAGAGGTAAATGCATACATCACTGCTCATTTGACCCACGTTCAGGGGGCCAGGGGGCTAACATTGGAATAGGGCGTTTGCGGATTACGTCGTCTGCAGTTTAATCCTGCATTTCTTCTGCGTGAACTTTATCAACTAGATTTGCCGGTGAAAAGGGGAACGGGGAAAACAAAACCAAAGCGAGCGAGCGCAGATATTTGGAATCTTTTGGGCCAAAACTGGGGGCAGTGGTGAAATGTGGTGTTTTTTCTTCTTCGATTCATCTCTGTTTAACAATTGCTGTATTTTCTGTCTACGTTACTTCTTTTCACCGCGTGAGGAGTGTGCGGTTCATATACCACATCATACCGTCCCTGCTGTACAACAAAATTTACAGCAACAAGACAAGAATCAAGGCCAGACAGATAACTTTATATGATAAACAGGCAGGGCTGGTATAAACAAAATACACATTTCAAGATGTTCACTCTCCCTCCTTGGGTGGAGGTATGCTTCCAACCCTGGGCGGCCCTCCCATTGGTGGCCCTCCGGTTTTTGGGGGAGGTGGCAACGGTGAGGCAGTTCGACTTGGCGCGTTGTCCAATTCTCTGCTCTTCTTTTCCTGTTCCTTGAAGTAATCGTCCATGAGATTCGGTCCCGTATGGTGGCCCCTTTCCTTCTTTTTGCCTCGGGGTGGTGCAGTACCGCCTGTTGTTGGAGGCGGGCTAAGTAGTTGAGCCGGGACAAGAAAGTCTGCCGAGGAGGATGGAGGGGGAGGAGTAGCTGTGGTAGCCGCCGGAACAAAAGGTGAGAATGACCTTGGGGCAGCGCCGAACTGAGGGATGCCACCACCAGATTCACTGCCATCAAAGAGAGTCTCACCGGGAGCTTGAACTGGCTCGCTAAGAGGGGCAGGGATGCGATGTAGGGCGCCATAGCCGAGGACGCAGCCGAGAGCTCCCTCTCCTCCCCAGTCACGCGAGGGCTGGATGGTGACCTCGCGCGTGACGTTGTATTCGTTGTTGTAGACGTAGAGGCGGAGGGGGCGGCCGATGTGGTCTTCTACCAGCTCGGAGAGGCCGGATTCGCCGTGGAGGACGCCCTCGGGGGTGCCGAGGATGTAATCGCTGTAGGGGAGGAGGCCGGCGGCGTCGGCGGGGGAGTTGGCGGGGACGTCGAGGACGTGCCAGATGTTGGAGACGACGGAGAGCGGGGTCCATTGGAGGGTGAGGCCTAGGGAGGCGGTGTCGGCGGGGACAGGGACGTGGAGGGCGCGTGTGCGCTGGCCTTTGGCGGACCAGAGGCCGAGCATCACTGAGGAGCCGGCGCAGTTGCGGACTTCCTGGGCGAAGAGGGAGGGGTCGGAGGATTCCTGGGGATCAAGGTTAGTTGAAGAGGGGCGAGAAGGGGAGTTTGGGGGGAGGTACAATCATGCGCCCGTTGATGCCAACTACGTAGTCGAACCATGGCTCGATGGAGAGCTCGAGGTTGGTGTTGCGCAGGACTTGGAAGCCGAAACCGCTGTGGGTTTCTCTTGCCTGGGGAGGCGCATCACCGTCGAGACGGGATATGAATCGGTTGAGGGCGTTGAACATGTTTTGGGGGGGCTATGTGGTGGTTTGGAGGTTGGGTTGTCGTCGTTCTGAAGAGTGAAGCTGTCTCGAAGGCAGGCTTGGCATGAGCAATTGGACAGGGGTCCGGTAATGGATACGGTGGTGTTTATCGGTGACCCGCTCTTCACCTTGAGGGTGGGGCAGGTCTGAGCTTCTCTGAACTGCAAACGCTCATCCCTGTCTTGGCATCGAGTCTCATTGTGGTTTAAATTCTTGTAGAGTTCTTCTCATGGTCAATCCGGAAATTCTAGATGGAAATCACAAGCATCTTCCCAGACTCATTCTTGAATTCACATAATACATCATGGGCCAAGAACAGTCTGTGACTGAGCGCGACAAGGCGTCACCAAGTCCAAGTGTAGTGGTAGGCTCCACACTGCCGCGTTCACCAACCAAACACGCTGGAACAGCACTCAACACCAGAATTCAACCTCACACCAACAAGGTCACCAAGAAACGTCCTCAGAAAATCAGAAAAGATACGAGAGAGAGAAAAACGATCCCATTTGGCGGCATACCCATCCCTCACCGACCCCCATTTGAGCCAGAGCCCAAACAGACCGCCATGTCCATCATGAAACCCGTCGTTGGCAAACTGCCACTCACAGATGAATGTCTTCACTACGATGATGTGTGTGAGGTGCCGCAAAATCTTCAAAAGTAAGCCGCTCAACCCACCTACGTGATTCCACTTAACTAACTCTTCAAAGATATTTCCACCAGCGCTACTCAATATTCAAATTCTATGACTATGACATCCGCCTCACAAACGATGCTTGGTTTGGCATCACCCCAGAACCCCTAGCCTTGAGGCTCGCCAACGACCTGCCTTCACATCTCTACTCCACCCCACGGCGCACGACCATAGTTGACCTCTTTGGCGGTGCTGGCGGCAACACGATCGCCTTTGCCCTCTCAGAAAAATGGGAGCATGTCATCTCCATCGAGCGCGATGCCTCCACTCTCGCATGCGCCCAACACAACGCCGAGGTATACGGCGTCTCCGGATACATCACCTTTATCCATGGTGACTGCCTTGACTTTTTGGATCGTCTAAAGTATCACCCAGAAACACTGGATTTATCACTACGAGAAAAGTGCGATATGAGCCAGACCGTCCTGTTTGCATCGCCACCATGGGGAGGAGTGGACTATAAGGAGCAGGATGTGTTCGACCTGAGCACCATGGAGCCGTACAACCTCGAGGTACTACACAAGTCTTGCAGTCCTATGGAGCATGCTTTGTATTTGCCTAGGACGAGCGATTTGAGGCAGATTGCAAAGCTGGCTCCGAAAGGTGAGAAGATAGAAGTGGTGCAGTATTGTATGGATGGGGCGAGTAAAGCGATGGTTGCTTTGATCCCAGAGGCGACGCCGGAGTTGACTTGATTATTTCGGCAATTTGCTTCATTTAGATACTTTTAGACCATAGATACCCCCTCAAGCAAACAATATGCCTCCCCAGGATCTGTGAAGTTCGAGGCCGATTATGTAATCTTCAAGAGCTCCGCTTGCCTCGCAAACAAGGCAGGAAATGTGGGTCTCAGCTGTCGTTGCCTCACAGACCAAGCACGGGCGGGATGCTCCAACAACACACTGGACCTCGCCGTTGGCCGACCCGAACATCAAGCTCCAGCAATTGCGCGTCCCATGATCCAGCAACATTCGTCTTTGGCGCTGGCATTGCTCACCGAATATTACCGTCGATTCCCTCGACGACCTTGTATACACCTCCATTTTCGCACCGGTAGCTCCAATCCCAGCCAGTCAACATGAAGCCTATCGTCGGCGCCGTGCAGGCATGGTCTTGGTAAGAATGACTCCATCAACCTCGCCAGTCATGGAAGGCATTGCGCTAACAGCAACTCACCGCAGCGTTGTGATTTCTCTCTTCGCCCTTGTCGTCCTCGGTATTCTCGGCATTCTCTTCAACAAGAATCACCCAGAGCTCGTCGGCGGTGGTGAGGACCCCGAGAACGGACCAGAAGTTGCCTCTACCATCTTCACTGCTATTATCATCTACATCGTATGTTGCGTCCCTATACGCATCAAAGTCCAGGACAAAGATTGCTAATAATGCTTGCCAAACAGGGGTTCATTGTCTTCTGCGGCTTCCAGGGTCTCCTGCACGTACGCCAAAGCCGACGGGGCTCGATTGCGCTATAAGTAACATATGGCGAGGACGGGAACGAGAACATTGAATCATTCACGGATTATGGCGTTTTTTTTTTGGGTCGCGCTGGCGAAGCATTTGTGTTTTTTTGGCTGCCCTGGGGACGGGGAGGGTTGCTCTAATATAGCATATTGAGTTGGGAACCAGGTGGCTTGGGGGCTGGCTTGTGTTCATACCATGTGAGGAACTATTGCTTCACCCATAGAGATGGAGAGCTAGAGGTTGGCCTTTTCTGTTAGTTTGACTGTTGACAGCAAGTACTGTAATGATACTTTTGACGTTAACTTGCAGAAGGCGGGGGTCTAGTTCGGCAGTGAACTTGTGTCGGTTGATGACAGGCGGTCTTGAAGAAGTCGACTGTTGAAGTCTCTTGCCTGCCACGTTTTGGGCTGGTTGGCGTGGATGATAGTGGGTGGAGTAGCTTGGCGAGCTGAAAACACACATTTCCCAATTGGGAATGCAGGTTGCACCTTCAACTGTCGCGATTCCCATGTCGTCCCTGGTTGCTTTTAGGCATCACAGCCTCCAAAATAAAGTTCCCGCCGGCTCCTCCACCTATTCCGCTGCAGCTTTAGGCATCGCGGGCTATCACAGGATCTCGCGCCTTTCTCGTGTGGGGATCTCCTGCTGTGTTCAGGCAGCACACCCCCCTGTTACGTCCAAGAGGCGACGAACCTTCACCACACCTCCACCGAGAATCTCAAACGCGCGTGTCATTCAACAAGGGTTTCGAGGAGTCTTCAACAAAAACAACTTGATATTTAAGTACCTAACACCCCCTTCGTCTTCCGATTCACACACTTTGACCATCTCTCTTACTCGCTTCTCAGCACATCCCACATATCGCCATTCTAGAGGAGTCGGAGATTATTTTCATCCAGCTCAATTGACTTTGCATCTGGAGCTGTTCGTTCAGATACAAGTCACATATCTTTCAACATGGCCACCACCACTGTCCCGGCCCTGCCTGTTCCCCTTACGGACCTTCCCAAACACCTTGCTCAGCACCCACACACGCCTGTCACACAGCTCTTTGAGCCATACCGCAAGTATGAGGCTCCCCTCCGTGAGTGTTTTGCCCAGGACCCTTCCAATGAGCTCTTGAAGGACCCTCACGTCAACGTCCTTCCTCTTTTCACCGAGGATACCTCCAGCCTCAACATCAGAGCCCGCAATCTGGCGGCCGAGTCCAAGGAGGAGCGTTCCAGATACATCATGCCCCTGCCGAAGGAGCTACGAAGGCCCAATGGCTCACCAGCGACTGTCAAGGACCTCAAGGAGTTCCGCCGCAACTTCAATGTCTTTTCTGAGTCTTCGCTCGTTGAGCTTGACTGGAGCAACGTTGTTGCCGCCGGCTCATCAGTGGTGAACTGCTTGTTGCCAGTGCCTGCTGAATACAACCGCAACAAGAGAACGCTTCGCGAGTTCTACCACGAGAAGTTCTCACCTGCGTCAGATGTCGATCTTTTTCTTTACGGTCTCACCGAGGAGCAGGCCATTGAGAAGATCAAGGATATTGAGGCCCGAGTCCGCGATTCTCTTCTTACCGAGACTACCACGGTCAGAACCAAGAACGCCATTACTATTTGCAGCCAATACCCCACTCGCCATATTCAGATCGTTCTTCGAATTTACAACTCGGTTTCTGAGATTTTGACGGGATTCGACATTGATTGCTCGGGGGCTGCGTATGATGGCAGCCAGGTCTACTGCACTCCACGTGCTCTTCAGTCTTACCTGACCCAGATCAACCACATTGATCTGACTCGGCGCAGCCCTTCCTATGAGAATCGCCTTTCCAAGTACTCCCACAGAGGTTTTGAGGTGTATTGGCCAGACCTCGACCGGTCCCGCATCGACCCAACCATCTTTGAGCGGAGCTTCCAGCGCACGCTTGGGTTGGCGAGGCTTCTTGTCTTGGAACGCCTCCCTACCCAAGGGGCGAGAGAGACGTACACTGATCAGCGTCGCAAGGAGCGAGGCCGGCCAGCGATTGATCGCTACAGCCGGAACCAGCACAAGCTCTGGGGCAACATCAAGGATGAGCATGAGGACGAGATTGCGGACTGGGCTCTTGAGGATGAGGTCTCCAACTATCACACCTTCACGATTCCTTACGGCACCAAGTACCACGCCAAGAAGATTGAGAAGCTGTGCTACACGAGGGATTTGCTGCTCAACGCCGAGTGGAACCAGAAGAAGGACAGGGAGGTGTATCTTCATCGCCACCCTGCCTTCTTCGGCCGGGTCGAGGACGTGGTGAATGACTGCTGCGGATTCTGCCCTGTCCCGACTACGGACCAGGAGAAGGAAATTGCTGCCGAGGAGGAGAAGTACTTTGTGTCGGGCAAGATCTCTTTCCTCAAAGATGATCCAGGCAGGCAGGCTATCGGCTCGTTCAATCCTCTGACGGATGATGACTGGACTGAGATGGCGTATGTTGGTAACACGGCTCGGCTTTGCCAGGCTATCGTTGATGGTGATGCTGAGCATGTCAAGGACTGGCTTGCTCAGGAAGGAGTTGATCCCAATACTCGGGATTACACTGGTCGCACCCCTCTGCATCTTGCTGTCATGACGTCTACGCCGGAGATTGTTCGTCTTCTTGTCGATGCGGGTGCTAGGCTTGTCGCGCGTCTCGCTGATGGACGGACGGCTCTTCACCTTGCTGCGTCGCGTGGCAGTGTGGAGATTGTTCAGATTCTCATGAACAAGAGCGTTGCTAATGAGGCGGAGCATGAGGAGAAGGAGGAGAAGCGCAAGAAGGAGCTTGCTGCGAACAAGACTGAGGAGGATAAGATGGATGTCGATGAGAAGGAAGAGGACGGTAGCGAGAAGGAAGAAGACGAGGAGTCTGATGGTGAGATGATCGATGGCGAGGACTCTGACGATGAGGGCCGGACTACCACCAGTGGATTTGTCAAGGTTGGGAAGGACGCTGCCGCTGCGGATGAGCTGGCTTTGGAAGAGGCTGAAGAGGAGCCTGATTTCTACGATGTTAACGTCATCGCCTGGGACACTCCTTGCTCTGCTCTTCACTTTGCCATCATGGAGGGTCATTGTGAGGTTGTCAAGACTCTGTGCCAGGTATGTCATGCTGGGTCTTGAATGTTGGGAATAGTGCTAACTCTTTTGCAGGAATATGGTGCCGATGTTCTGCTGCCCGTCAAGTTCTTGAATAGCAACAAGTCCCCATACGGGGCGCTGCTCACTCTTGTCCTTGCGCTGGTTTTACCTGTTCCCAAGGCGAAGGAGATGGCCAAGATCCTCTTGAGTCTTGGGGCCACCTCAGCCCAGGCCGATTTGAACGGCGTTACTGCCTTCCACCGTTATGTCGAGGAGAATGCCGAGTCGTTGCTTGCCACTCTGTGGGAGCACGATGCGGTAGGGACCAAGACGGCCATCAACCACATCAGCATGCGTGACCAGTATTCGACCGCAGAGACGGCTCTCGGCGTTGCTATCAAGAAAGGAAATCTTTCTTTGATTCTTCAATTGCTCGACCATGGCGCTGTGCCTCAGATTGACTTTGAGAGCTGGCTGAAGTCGGCGAGACAGTCAGCCGCCATCGAGAGGAACCTGGGCACTTTGGAGGGCAACAAGAAGATGTGGAACGAGATGACGGAGCAGCCCCTGATTCTCGCCATCAACTCCACCGATCCCTCCTCGGCTCTCGAGCTCCTCAAGGCTGGCGCCGACCCCAACGTTGTCACGATGGAGTCTCACAAGCAGATGGGCCGTTCGTGGGTCACGGTGGTTAACGGAGAATCTGCCCTCGATCTTGTGAATACCTACCTCATCCGTCTCAAGGAATTCCTTGACAAGAAGAAGGATGTGCCCAAGGCCCCAGAGCTTCGTGAGGATCTTGACAGCTGGCTCGATCAGTACGAGAAGTCATCGTACCAGTATGCGATTGCCTCTGCCGAAATTGCCAAACTGAAGGCTGTACACAAGGACCAGATGAGGCAGTATGAGAAAGAGCTTGCTTCGACTGAGGAACCTGAGGGTACGGCCGAGAAGAGGACGGCAGTCTTGCAAGCGTTTGTCACGTTGGCAAAGGTGAAGGAGGCACTTGTTGAGAAGGGGGCGAAGACCTTCGGAGAGCTTTTCCCGGCCTACAAGGCCCCTGACCCGTTCCCTGACGTCAACACCCCGTACGCGCAAGCAGGCAAGGTTGTGCAGCCGATTGTCGACCCGACGAGGCGCCTGTTCCATTTGCAGAATGTCTTTGATGTGACAGACAAGAGACTGCCTGCCTACATCTCTTTGTAAGTTGCTCATCCGTGGGTTTACCTGCTGAAATAGATGCTGACATTGATTTACACAGGTTCGAAGCCGCTTGGTTGGGCGATCTTGACAAGATCAAGAAGCTCTGCTTGACCTCGTGGGACGAAGAGCAAACCGAGGCTCCGCTCAAGATTGCCTTGTACGACAACAAGGGCAACTCTCCCTTCTCGCTGGCGTACTTCCGCGGCCATCATGATGTCGCCAAGGCGATCCTTGAGATTGCCCAGGCGCAGTACACGCCGAGGGAGAAGCCTGAGGCCGAGTACAAGATGCACGTCAATGACACTTATGAGGATGATTGCTCGATGGATGACTCGGACAACGAGTCGGTCTGCAGCGGCGGATCTGGGCCTGACATTTACAGGCACATTGTTGGCGGCGAGTTCACCATTGAAAACATAGGAGAGGTTTCGATGAAGGTGAAGAGCCATACCAAGCCTTCTGAGATTCTGCACAGGAACTATCCCAAGCCTGGGGAGAAGGGTCGGCAGTATGGCCTGCTGTCTCGTAAGTCTTTTGCCTCGTCTGGTATTGGGAGTGATGAAGCTGATTTCGGGTGACAGGTGCTGTCTTTAACAATGACATGCAAGCGCTCAAGTTTGTTCTCGGTCTCGCTGAGCGGTTTGCTGCTGATGGTGGAGCTGAGGACAAGCAGACCTTTTACCCGTTTCCTGACTCTGTTTTCAAGCTGGCTATCCAGAAGGGCCACACTGAGCTGCTGGCCGAGATCATCAAGCGCACTGGTGCTGGTTTGCCTCTCGAGAACTTGGTGAAGAACACGGGTGTTGAGATCGCGGAGAAGCCGACTTACTATCAGGGATTGACCGTGTACGGGAAGAAGAGAAAGGACTGGGCGACTCAGGGCCGCAACTCCGCTCCGGGAGCTCGTGGTCTTGAGAGCTCCCCTTTGTTGCTTGCTGCTCAGTCTGCTCAGATTGCGAGTGTTGAGTGGTTCCTCAGTGATGCTCCGCTGAGGCACTATCTTTCGTTCTGCAAGAGCAAGGCGGCTAGGGAGGATGTTCGGATCAAGCACTTGGGACAGCAGAAGGGTGGCTTTGAGGGTGCCATTTCGAAGTGGCTGACTGACAACAGCGACTTAGCCATCCACGCTGCTGTGTACACCCGTCCAACACAGAAGTCGATCGACTTGGTGGAATACCTGCTCAAGGTTCGCCCCGAGTCCATCGATTCCAAGGACCGCAACGGCGCTACTCCCTTGATGGCAGCTTGCAGGCTTGGTCGTGTCGAAATCGCAAAGCTTCTGGTCGAGGCCGGCGCCGATCAAAAGACCAAGGACGCCAACTTTGACAACCTCTTGCACGCCGCGCTGCGCTGGAAGCCCACTCGCGAGCAGCTCAAGCCTCTCCTGGACCTTCTCGGCCGCGACCTCCTCGTCCGCATGCTCAAGGAGCGCAACAACCTCAAGACAGAAGGCCACACCCCCTTGCACACCTGGCTCCTCCATTTCACCCACTACACCAACCAATACGCCTACAAGAGCCTCGCCGACGCAGCTGCCGTCTTCAACCTCGTGGCCGACCTCTCCCCGGACGCGACCCGCCAAGCCCTCCGTATGCTCGACGGCGCGGGCAACACGCCCCTTCACTCCCTCCTGATGGGCGACACAGAGCACGGCCTGATCGGCTTCCTCCTCAACTTTGAGCCCTCCCTTCTCCTCGTCGAAAACGCGGTAGGCCGGACCCCAGCGGAGCTCATCCACGAGAAATTTGTGTCGAGCAAAGTCAAGGTTGAGAACCAGCCACAACAAAACTACTACTGGTACAACCGCCACGCCAACACGGCCGACGCACTTGCCGTACGAAACATTCACACTGCCGACCCGAGAATATTTGTCAACCAGGGCGTCTGCGCCCAGTCGGCGGCTAAACACGCCGAGATCAACCTTGCAAAGACTTTCTTCCTCTGCAAGGATTATCTTGCTAGAATGGAGAACCCCAAGCGCAGTCTGGTAAGCTTGCACGCGGCGAATATGGTTTCGCAGAGGTTGGGCAAGGAGTATGAGAGGGGGAGGTACAAGTATGATCTTGGGGAGGTTGTCAAGGGGGTGGAGGATGTTGCTCTTGTTGCGGGAAGTGGATATGAACAGGAGGGACACCAGAAGAAGCAGGGAAAGGACCCAGTGGTTGGTGGGAGCATGTTGTTTTCGCAGGGGTA